GGTTTCGCCGACCCTCTTCTGGATCGGGTCCCCAGGTGACGCATGTGCGTTCCGCGTCTGGGGCTGCCTTGCTCACGTTCGTGCCTCTGGCACGAACAAGCTCACTACCCGCACTGTCCCCTGTGTCTTCCTAGGTTTCCCTCTCGACTCGTCGGACTGGCAGTTCTACCACCCGCCTTCTCACCGGTTCTTTCACTCTCGTGACGTCTCTTTTGACGAGTTCGTCTCCTTCTACCACCGTTTTCCCCACCGTGATCCCCCGGTCACTCCCCCCCAGTTCCTGGTGCCCCCCCCTCCCCCGATCGACCCTGTCCACCCCCCTCCCTACCCTGCCCCGTCTGGTGTGTCTCACGTCACCCCCCTCCCATCGGTTGTCCCTGCTGAGGAGTCTGCTGACTCTCGCGGCTCGGCGGAGTCTCTTCCCGTGCCTATCCCTGCCCCGGTCTCGCCTCCCTTGTCGCCGCCGCTGCTGTACCCGCCGCAGCCGCCTCCACCGCTGCCGCCGCAGCCGCATCCGCCGTCGTCACCGCTGCTGAGGTTCGTGTGTTCTGCGGGTGCTGGGGAGTGGGCTGGAGCAGGTTCTGGAGCGGGCTCTGCGAGTGCTGGCGTGGGGCTTTTCGGAGGGAGCCGTGTTGTGACAGGAGGTTCTGGTGTTGGAGTCGGGCAGCAGTCGCAGCTGTCGCCGCCGGTGTCCGCTCTTTGTCTCCTCGGTCGCAGCTTCCCCCGCTGCCGCCGCCTCCTCCTCTGCCGGTCCACGGCCCCGTGTTTCTTCCCCCGGACTCCTCTCCATCTCGTTTCCCTCCCCGTTCTCCTCCTGTGTCTCCTCCCCTCTCTCCTGACCCGACTTCTCCGTCTCACGTCTGGTCTCGTCGTCCGTCTCGTGCTCGTCCTACCTCCCATGTTCCGCGTTCTCACCCTATGTTGTTTCGCTCTCACGCGTCTCGTGCTCCTCCTCTCCTCCCATCTCCTCCTCCGTCGTTGCTTGCTGTGGCCCCGCCTCCGTTCTCAGACTTCCTCCGTGCTGCGCATCCCCTTGCTCCTCGTGTCCTTGCCTCTCTCGTTACCGACCCGTCCGTTCCTGTCTCGAGTCTGTTGGCTCTTGTCGCTGCTGTCACTGACTTCGCCGCTACCCGCCGCCTGGACTACGCCACCACTCTCGTTTCTGACCTTGCCTGCCCTCCGATCATCGGGGGTGTGGCTGCTCTTGGTAGTGACGTCCTAGAGGACAGGCAGTTTGAGCTCGCTTTCCTGTCTCAGGCCGCTCCGCATCTCTGTTCCATGCTACTAGTCCCTGAGGGTGACCCAGACGCCCTCAACATCCCGACCCCTCGCACCTACGCTGAGGCCACTTCGGAACCCTGGGCCTCTCAGTGGATAGCTGCCATGGAGGAGGAGATGGCATCTTGGAGATCCACCGGTACTTTCGTTGACGCAGTTCCCCCACCTGGGGTGAACGTAGTCGATGACCGGTGGCTCTTCAAGGTCAAGCGCCCTCCTTGAGAGCCGCCTGTCTTCAAGGCGCGCTACGTCGCTCGAGGCTTCAGTCAGCGTGAGGGGGTGGACTTCTTTTAGACCTTCGCCCCGACCCCGAAGATGACCACTCTTTGGACGCTGCTACACGTAGCAGCACAGCGTGACTACGAGCTGCACTCCCTCGACTTTTCCGCAGCTTTCCTCCAGGGCAGTCTACACGCGCAGGTCTACCTGTGTCGCCCCCAGAGCTTCTCCGGTACCTTCCCCCCTGGCACCGAGTGGCTCCTCCGGCGCCCCGTCTACGGCTTGCGACAGGCACCCCGTGAGTGGCACGACACGATGCGTGCTACACTTGCTGACTTGCAGTTCTTCCCTTTGTCTGCAGACCCCTCGCTCTTTGTCGGTTCCGGACAGACTCCGTTCTACATCCTTGTCTACATAGAGGATCTGGTCTTTGCTACTGCAGACAGAGACGCACTGGCCGTCGTGAAGGCCAAGCTGCTGAGAAGACACACCTGCACTAACCTAGGAGAGCTGCGCGGCTACCTTGGCTTGCAGATCTCCAGGGACAGAGCAACGCGCACCATCACTCTCTTACAGTCACACTTGGTGCTTCAGAGGTTCGGCCTTCAGTTCTCTTCTACACATCCCACCGCTCTGTTAGTAGACCACAGACTCTCTGCCCCAGTCCCTGAGGAGGCTGTAGAGCCTAGTGGTCCCTACGCAGAGCTGGTGGGTTGCCTCATGTACCTAATGACTTGCACTCGTCCAGATCTCGCATACCCTCTCAGCAACCTAGCTCGCTTTGTGGTCACCGGCAGACACCGACCACAACACTAGTCAGCAGCTAAGAGGGTTTTGCGTTATCTAGCAAGTACATCGAGCATGGGGCTAGTGCTAAGAGGACGGAGACCAGTGGTTCTTACCGGGCACACAGACGCTTCTTGGGCAGACGACGCCGAGACTTTTAGGTCCTTACAGGGCTACTCCTTTAGCCTTGGTGCAGGTGCCATCTCGTGGAGGTCCACCCATTCCTCGTCAGTTGCCCAGTCTAGGTATGATGCTGAGATCTACGCATGTACCATGGCGGCACAGGAGCTCCGCTGGCTGACCTTCTTGCTCATTGATTTAGGTGAGCGGCCTAGCTCTGCCCCTCTTCTGTACGTTGACAACAGGGCCATGATCCTCCTATGTCAGGAGCCACGACTTGAGGGCAGAGCGAAGCACATCCAGCTGTGGTACTTCCTGTTGCGCGAGCTGCAGCAGCGTCGCCAGGCTCGTTTAGTACACTTGGCCTCAGGTGCCAACACAGCTGATATCTTTAGTAAGGCGCTTGCGCCTAAATATCATCAGCGGTACTGTGTACAGCTAGGTCTTGTTCCCGTAGCCTCACTTGCTAGGACCTTGATTGTGTACAAACCTTTATATATATTACCCTGACTGACCTTGTGGCCTTTTCCTAGTGGTTGGACTAGTAGTGCCACCCTGGTCTTGCTCTTGCCTTGTCTGTACTTGTTTGACTGGTCTTTAGACCCTTGCCTCAGAGGCTGGACTAATAGTGCCACCCTGAGCTGTTTCTCTCTCATCAGGCACTGCCCCTATCCAGTCTAGGGGGTGTGTCGAATATATATTGTATATTTCAGTAGACTATATAGGGTTGGTCCTTAGGGAGTACAACCCATTAGGTTATATTCCCTTGTATGCCTTGTTCTATACATACTTTCACTTAAACAGAGGCGGCCCAGCAGGGCGGACCGCTAGCTCTGAAACCATGTCACGAAAGCTAGGCTAGTAGGCGGCCATGGATGGTGAGAGTTTTTAGCTAGAAGAGTGAATTATGAGAGAAAAGGGTGTGAGATTAGAAGAGAGAGGGATACAAGGAGGGGGTGTTGTTTTTAGAAGACTAACTTAGCTAGGAAGGTAGGCGGCCATGAAATGGCGAGAGGTTTAGGATCTAGGAGAGGAAGTTTACGAGAGAAAAGAGGGTGAGACTAGGAAGAGAGAGGCATACAAGGAGGGAGTTGTACCCTCTACAGTAGAGTTCGATAACCTACCAAGCCTACCAATTATATAACACAGTATATAATTTAACACACCCCCTATGCTTGGTAGCGGCAAGCCCACTACACAGACAGCACACTAAGCCACACACCCCCTAGCACCCCCATACTCAGCAGCAGTGATAGCTACTTCAGCACGGTCAACCCCACAGCGCGTGAGGTGGGGCGACGTCGACAACGAGGGCAGTGGCTGCAACGGCAGCGACGGCGGCAGCGTCGACAGCGGCGGCGTGGCCAGCTGCACCAGCTGCGGTGGCGGCGGCTTTGACGATAGCTGCCGGCGGCGGCGGAGCTCGCAGCACTCGGCGGCGTGGCCGGGCTCCGCGACGGTGGGACGGCCGGCGCGAGTCAGCCGTCGACTGCGGCAAGGAAGAGGGGACGCAGGGGAAGGGGGGCGGGGCTTAAGCAACGGAGCCCGGGAGCGTGCCGCCCAGTGTGGCGCGCTGGCTGCATGCGGGTGTGCTGGCCAGCGCTAAGAAGAGGCGCTGGCCGCTGCCGTCCGTGCCGTCCGCGCGCTGTCGCGTAGACGCCGCCGCAGCACGACGGTGCCGTCACTCCGCCACAGCTTGACGTCGATGTCGACGCCGCCACGGCTTGACGTCGATGCCAAGACAACGCGACGTCACGGCAGCGCGTCGCAACGGCCGCGGCAGCACGACGCGGCCGGCGGCACGACGACGTGGCCACAGCAGCATGACGCGGCCGCCATGGCAGCGAGAGAGAGAGAGAGAGAGAGAGAGAGAGAGAGAGAGAGAGAGAGAGAGAGAGAGAGAGAGAGAGAGAGAGAGAGAGAGGGAGAGAGAGAGAGAGAGAGAGAGAGAGAGAGAGAGAGAGAGAGAGAGAGAGAGAGAGTAGAAGAGCGTGGCAGAAGTGTGAGGAGCAGGCCCACAAGGAGCGAACAACTCTGATTCCATGTTAGAAGACTAACTTAGCTAGGAAAGTAGGCGGCCATGAAATGGCGAGAGGTTTAGGAGCTAGGAGAGGAAGTTTACGAGAGAAAAGAGGGTGAGACTATGAAGAGAGAGGCATACAAGGAGGGAGTTGTACCCTCTACAGTAAGTTTCAGTAACACCTACCAAGCCTACAATTATATATAAGATATAATTTAACACAGCGGGCTACATGTGACGAGCGGCCAGCGAGCTACGGGCGACGGGGGCCAGCGGGCGACGAGCGGCTGGCGGCCAGCGGGCTATGGGCGACGGGGGCGTCGAGCGGCTGGTGGCTACGTGGTCAGGTAGGAACAGGCGGCTAGCGACGAGCGGCGTGGGCTAAGGCTAGGACTAGGGCGGAAGCGCGGGTGGGCGGGATCCTCCTAGCCTACTAGCTGTGATACCATCTCAGAGTAACAGATTAGCTAGAATGATGAGGTACAAGGGAATATAACCTAAGGTCTCTCTATGGGCATGCACCTATCTAGCCTATAACATATACAAAATATATGTTGACACGTTCTTTGCGCTTCCATTATATGCGACAACAAAATACCAGCATGGCAGTTTCACCTTTCATACATACACAAATACATGGAGAACATAATCAGGTTTATTAGGCAATTAGTGCTTGTTATATCATAAGCATTTATACCCCAAAGAATAAAGGAATGCATTCGGCCAATTACTCAGCCCTCTTTTTGAGGGGCCTTCAAGCAACCACTCCGAATGTTGAGAATCTGCAGTTGGCTGAAACGGCTGTTGTAGACACGTAGTCCCAGAGAGGTCCACTCAGGGTCGTCTTGGCTTCTGATTGAGGGTCCCCAACGGCCACCGATGTGTATGATGGGATAATTGGCAGTGCCAGCTTGGACGATGCACGGATTGCCTGAGCAAGGAGTCCATTCACAGTGGGCGAAGATTTGACCCTATTCACCTTGACAGTCAAATGGCCTTCACCTGCGTCCCCTTCACCCTGCACGATGCTTGCCCTCACTTCCACCTCCACCAACCCCGCAATCTCCACTCTAAACTTCACCATGTTCACAGGCCACTCCCTCTCCTCCGCCACTTTGCTAAGTACCAGCCCTCCTGCTCCTGTCACCCGATCGCCCACCTCTTTTGGGGACGACAAGGCCACACCATCCAGCTCCAGAAGGGACAACAGACTCTCAGCTGTCCTTTGACTGTCTGCGGTGCCAGCATTGCTGCTGCCGCCGCTGCTTTCGGCTGGGCCAGACTCAGCTGTTACCGTGGGTGTTACAGCCATGTGAAGGGAATGCAGGCCATCAGCCACCCACACAAACCCAACCTCCCTTATAGCCGCCTGCGCCCGTTCCCTCTTCCCCTCTCCTCCGTCTTCCTCCCAGCTCACTTCACCACCAGCAATGGCCGAAGCAGCGCCTGCAACAGCAGCCGTTGCTCTCCGTTCAGCCTCTTTCCTGGCAGCAGCGGCAGCATCGGCAATAGCTGCTGTCGATATCCGAGCCAAGGTAGGGTTGGTGGACGGGGCTCCAGCAAACGCCACGTCACCAGAATCGTCCGCAGACTCGCCAGCTGCAGCCTGCGGTGGAGATTCGCGGAGCACGATGTTGATGTGCAATCGACGGTCAGAAACGAGGCAGAAGGACGCGTTCAGCAGGCCTTGAGGGGTCAACGGTGGCGGCCGCTCCGCCCTCCGCTTGATCCCAGACAGCCCAGCCACACGTGGTAGTTTCTTCGCCGAACCTTCCTGTCGACGTCCGGGGATGAGGCTCGGAGATGACGTGGCAAGCGGAGCGGCCACGGTAGAATTATCCGCCGCGTTTTCCGAGGTAGAAGCTTGTGCGCGCCCCCCGCACATGCCGCCCAGCCAGCTTAGCGGAAAATACGGCGACATGGAGCGCTGCTCCTTGACATCCCCGCTAAGAGGCGTTCGGTACTCTCCAGAGTGACCCGCGCCGCCGTCCTTTCCGAGCAGGTAGCACTGCACGCCGCTCATGAAGCCGCGGACGTTTACATTGTCGCGTAGCCGGTTGCTGTGACGGGGAGGAGAAAAGAGAGAAGGGTCGCGTCAGAAGGTGAGACGAAGGCGGGGGAAGTTGACTCAACTTCAACTTGGAAGCAGTGATGGAGAACGCACAAGGCAGGCGAGCGCATGGAGCTTCTGCTTACTAGAAGTGGCTCCAAACACACACACGCCGTGGACCGATATGCGCATCCAAGATCGAGGCTCACCTGCGGAAAAAGTGGAATTGGTAACAGCCGGCTGTTCGCGAGCACGCGTCGCAGCACTTTTCGAGAGTGTCGCCAGCTTCGCCGTTGACGACAGCGACGTGGTTGCCAACTTCTTGGAAAACCTCGAGATTGACGGATCCCGATCCCTTGGCGTGGGGCTTGAATTTCCCGCGCTGGCTGATAAAAAGGCCTTTGAAGTTGCCGACGAGCGCGTGCTTGTGCAGGTTGCGCGCGCTCACCCCCGCGTCTTCCAGCCCGCGCAGCTGGCGGCACGCGTCGCAGCCGCCCGAGGGGAGATTCGTGCCGGCGGCGATGCGAACGAGGGAGTGTATAGCGAGTATGGTGGCGAGGCCGACGCGGATTCGGAGGGTCCAGCCGAGCTGAGGAGATTGCACTCGCGACAGCATTTTGTGTCGTGTGCAGGATTTTGTATAGCTGAAGAGAAGTAGTAGTCGAGGAGGAAGGTCTTGAGAGGATTTTGTGTCGTGTGCAGCAAGAAAGGTTCTTGATCAATCGATGGAAGAATGATACGAGCCGCCACTGAGACTTACGAGGGATTCTACTAGCTTGAAGCGCGATTGCTAGTTCTGGGATGTAACGACGACAGCAACTAGCCGTACTAGTAGGACGCGGATGAGAGGCTGAAAACGAACATGTAGAACTCGGCTCGGAGTCACTACGGGTGACACCGTGGAAGTTGACAGCACCTCCAAAATGAACAGAGGAGCTTGTTCGACTGCGGCTCGGACGGCAGTCGATTTGTCTGCTTCCCGCTCTGTCCTTGCTTTCCAGAATGCTCCAGCCTGGCGTGCTGAGGCCCGAGATCGGCACCTGGTTGACTGGGAAAGCTCAAAAGATTAGCGCAGCGTCAAGGCTGGGAGCAATAGAGGAGAGCTCGTGGGGGAGGCGTGAGGGTCATAAATGGGCTCTAGATCTTTGTGCTTTCACTTCAGGCATGTGCGAGCCAATGTCGCACAGAAAGCTTTCCTCTCGCGGAGGCATGAGGGTTGAATGATGTAAGTGAGGTGGAGGGGAGGGAGGGAGATAACGATTGAGGGTCACGATTTACATCGTGTGGAGCAGGGAGGGAGCGGCAGTTGCAATGTGAGGCGATGCGACGCGACAAAAATGGCAAAATTCCCCACATGAGGCGGCCTGGGGCCAAGAAATAACGTGCGAAAATGCCAAAATACAGCGAAGGAAACGAACTGTTTGTAACACAAAAGCTTGGTCGCGTCCTGCCGTGGGATGAAACCTTATTGGTTAACGGCGACAGTCGCGAAAAAGGACTGCCATTCCAATTTCAGCGTGAGGGGGCGGTGATTTGTCTGTAATAGGACAAGACCACGTCAGTGCAGCTGGGGCAGCTGGGATGCAGTTCGACACGCTGGCGGAGCAGTAACCTGGTGTGGCTGTGACAGCTGGCAAAAATGCCTCAGCACTGTTTGAAGGTCATGGGTGACGTGACGAAGGAGCAACCAGCGCGCTGTGAAACAAAGAGCAAGTCCGATAACAGTACCATACCCTCAACAGTGTCGCTTCGCTCAAGTATAAATGCGCGGTGTCTCTAGTGTTTCTTAACACTATCACACATAATCTTACTTTACAAACTCCGCTCTAAACCCGATCAGTACTGGAAGCCATATAAACAAGGCCTTGACTCAAGTGCGCTCCCTCAACCCATTCTTCCTTTACCTACGAAACGCATCATCCCAACATGATCCACAGTACGCCAACTAAACCCAAAGCTGCACTGGACGCGCCGTATCCCACCAATTCCCTGTTAAATTATACATGTTAGTATATAATTGTAGGCTTGGTAGCGGTTACTGAACATTAATGTAGAGGGTACAACACCCCTCTTTGTATCCCTCTCTCTTCTTTCCTAACCTCTCTTTTCTCTCGACATTCTCGCCTACCTCCTAGATCTAATCTCACGCCATTTCCATGGCTCCCCCCTATTCCTACCTAGTCTAACTTCACAACATGGTTTCAGAGCAGGACGCCCGTCCTGGGCTTGTTCCCCTCCTCGCTTCCGCTGCGTTCTCGTAACCTGTTCGCCGCCGTCGCGACCTTCCTACTGCCTGCCGCCGTGGTACATTTTCCAAGATGCCGCGGCGGCCTTTGTGTGCTGTCGTCCCAGCGTCGACGAGCAGCCGCGGCTCCGACGCCACGCTGTGGTGGCGTCGTCGTGGTGCCGCGGCCGTGACGTCGGCCCTGTTGCCGTCGCGCACGACCTGCGTCGCTGCTGGAATTGCGGCCCGCCCGCACGCAAGTAAGCGCCGCGCCTGCAATGGCGCCGCACTGAAGATCCAAAGCCTCGCCCCTTCCCCCTTCCCTCCGTCCCCTCCTCTTCGCCACAGCCGTCGCCTGACTCTCGCCGGTCGTCCCCCTGTCGCGGAGTATGGACACGCTGTTGGAAGGGCGGGGGCCACTGCCGTTACCGCCGTCGTAAGCCGAAGCCGTCGTCGTCTCTGCTGTCGTCGCCGCAGGCCTGTTGCCGCCGCACGCCCGTCGTCGCCGTCGCTGTCGCCACTGCCGGGACTGTCGCTGTCGCTACTCCTTGGGGTTGGCCCAGTTGGAGTAGACGTGGCTGATGGGAATGGGGGTGCTAGGCTAGGGGGTGTGGGGGTGTGTGGGTCCTTGCTACCAAGCCTAGGGGGTGTGTTAAATTATATCTGTTAGTATATAATTGTAGGCTTGGTAGCAGTTACTGAACAACACCGTAGAGGGTACAACACCCCTCTTTGTATCCCTCTCTCTTCTTTCCTAGTCTCTCTTTTCTCTCGACATTCTCGCCTACCTCCTAGATCTAATCTCACGCCATTTCCATGGCTCCCCCCATTCCTACCTAGTCTAACTTCACAACATTCCCGCCCGCACCATGCAGGATGCATCATAGGCCGGTTGTCACAATAAATAGTCCTCACATAAGTTTGGCAGCTTCCAACAGCAGCCTTCAAATGCCGTAGCTGCACGCATCTCATCCGTCTGTCCCATCACTTCGTTCCACCAACTTATCCCCATCCCACCAAGCCCTGCATCCTTTTGACCATGTGGTCCATAGACTGCGGGTTGTCCTAGTCAGTCGTCACGCACTCCTTGGCAATTGGCAGCAGTAGCTTCCTCTGCACCTCACTCCACTGCCCCTGAAGTCTCGGAGGTCTTGAGACATCCCAAAACAGGTCTACTCTACCACAAATCCCTGCATCATCTTAACCGTGCGGTCCATGGGCTGCCGTGCCGGCTATCCCAATCGGGAACCACACAGTCCTTGGCCATTTCCAGCAGAAGTTTTGCTTGCTCTCGCTTCACCGCACCTCTAGTCTCGGGTTTTATGACCTCCCAAAACATGTCTATATTGAAAGGAGTTTAGTAGCCTAGGAGCTAGGCATGAGAAATGTCAAGATTTTAGCTAGAGAGAAAAGTTGACAACAAAAAAAGAGGGATTTGGACTAGAAGAGAGAGGGGTACAAGAAGGGTGTTGTACCCTCTATAGTAGGATCCAGTATTGTAGCATACCTAACCTACCATATATAAATAATATTTGTAAGTTGACACACCCCCTAGGCTTAGCAGGCGCTAGCACACCACACACGCATCACCCCCAAACCCTTGCACCCCCATGCCTTGCAGCAGCTGTGGCGTCTACAAGCTGGTCGACCCCTTGGCAATCGAGGCGGCGACGTCAGCGGCGGGTCGCAGCGGCGACGGCGACGGCAGGGCCTGCAGCACCTGCGGCGGCGGCGGCGTCGAGGCACCCGGCGGCGTGGCTCACACTGTGACGACGGGGGGGAGGACGGCACGAGACTGCCAGCAGCTGCGACGCGGAGGAGGGGAAATGCAGAGGAGGGGGGGCGAATCTTTAGCAAGGCGCCATGACTGGCGCGGCGTTGGTTGGCATGTGGGCGAGCTGGCCGGCGCTAAAACCGTGCGCTGGCCGCTGTTCTCCGTGCGCTAGCGCGTCGATGCCGCCACGTCAGCACGACGACGCCGCGACGGCGTGGCGTCGATGCCACGGCAGCGCGTCGGGGCTGCAAGGGCAATGTATAAAGGCCGCCGTGGCAGCACGACGTGGCCGCCATGTTAAAATGAGCTAGCTAGGAAGAGGCGCCATGGATTGGCGAGAGGTTTTAGGAAGGGGAAAAGCATCGAGAGAGAAGAAGCATAGACTAGAAGAGAGAGGGGTACAAGAAGGGGGGTTGTACCCTCTACAATAGGATCCAGTAACACCTACCAAGCCTACGATTATATATATATAATATATAATTGAACACACCCCCTAGGCTTGGTAGTCGTAAGCCCACCTCACATGCAACACCTGTAAGCCTAGCACCCCCATACCCTGCAGCAGAGGTGACTGCAGGGAAGGAAGGCGCTAGGCATCCTTGAGCTGCGGCGGGCCGGAGCCAGCTAGCGTGGCGAGCTGGGACCGACGCTGCGAGCTGGGACGGACGCGGCGAGCTGGGCCCAGAGCGGAGAGTTGGGTTCGATGCGGCGAGCTACGTCCGACGCGGCGAGCTGGGTCCGACACGACGAGCTTGGGAGGCACGGCGAGCTGGAGCGAGGGCTTGCTGCCTGGCGCCTAAACCAGTGCGCGGACCATTGCCGCCCGTGCGCTGACGCGACGACGGCGGCACAACGGCACGACGAAGCCGCCACGATGTGGCGTCGAAGCCCCGGCAGCACGACGAAGCCGCCATGGCAGCACGACATGGGCGCCACGGCGGCGCGGAAGTAACAAGAGGGGAAGCAGTACGCGGCGGAAGCGCGAGGAGGTGGCCCAGCAGGGCGGACCTCCCGCTCTAAAACCATATTGAAATGAGCTAGCTAGGAAGAGGCGCCATGGAATGGCGAGAGGTTTTAGGAAGGGGAAAAGTATCGAGAGAGAAGAAGCATCGACTAGAAGAGAGAGGGGTACAAGAAGGGGGGTTGTACCCTCTACTGTAGGATCCAGTAAGACCTACCAAGCCCACAATTATATATATATATATGTATATTATAATTTAACACGCCACACAGCGGCGCATAAGTGACGGGAGGGGTGAGAGGACGCTGCGGAAGCGTGATGACAAGGCTCAGCAGGATCGGCCTGCTCTGATACTATATTGAAAGGAGTTTTGGAGCCTAGAAGCTAGGCATGAGAAATGTCGAGATTTTAGCTAGGGAGAATAGTTGACGAGAGAAACGAGGGATTTGGACTAGAAGAGAGGGGTACAAGAAGGGTGGTGTATCCTCTACAGTAGGATCCAGTATTGCAGCACACCTAACCTACCAAGCCTACACAATTATATATAAATAATATATATATATATATATAAGTTGACACTCTACTCTACCACCAATCCCTGCATCATCTCAACCATGTGGTCCATGGGCTGCCGGTTGTCCCAATCGGGAATCACGCACTCTTTGGCAATTTCCAGCAGCAGTTTTGCTTGCTCCTCGCTCCACTGCCCCTCCAGTCTCGGGTCCATCACCGCCTGCAGGTCCACCGGCTCCGACCGCACGGCACCGGTCACCACCGCTTCAAAGTTGGGCTCGATCACGGAGTGGCCTGTGGCGAGCTCGATGAGGAAGATGCCAAAGGCAAAGGTGTCGCTGTGGTTGTTCAAGTAGCCTGGGGCGGGGGAATTGGAGAAAGGGAGAGCAGCAGGGCAAGGGGTAAAGCAGTGGGGCAACGGGTGTAGCCTGGGAACCAAAGTTGGGCTCGATCACCGAATGCCCCGTGTCGAGCTCGATGAGGAAAATGCCAAAGGCAAAGATGTCGCAATGGTCGTTCAGATAACCTGGGGGAAAAAAAGGAATGGGAGGTGCAAGGGGAAGGGAGAATGGAAGTGCTGAAGACTTAAGGGAGATCTTGACTGAGTGCCTTAAAGCGAGGGTCTCAAGAAGCGCGAAACCAAATCCAAAAGGTTTGGTTTTGGGTTGACGAAATTAGCGAAACAGTAACAGCGCCCAACCAGCACCCCTCACCACACCTCGCAATTTTCGAGACCCCCCGAAACCAAAACCTTTGGATTTGGTTTTCTGCTTCTTGAGACCCTCGCTTTAAGGCAAGCTCGATGAAGAAAATGCCAGAGGCAAAGGTGTTTTTGAGAATTCTCAAAAATACCCTGGAAAATGCCAAAGGCAAAGGTGTCGCAGTGGTCGTTCTGATAAGGGGCGCAGCAGGGCAAGGGGTGTAGCAGGGCAAGGGGCGCAGCAGGGCAAGGAGCGCAGCAGGGCAAGGGGCGTAGCAGGGCAAGGGGCGCAGCAGGGCAAGGGGCGTAGCCGGGCAAGGGGCACAGCAGGGCTTTAAGCTTCTTGAGGAAAATGGCGAAGGCGAAGGTGTCACAGTGGCCATTCAGATAGCCTCGGGGGGGGTTGGGAGGGAGAGCAGGGGAAGGGAGAATGGAACATCAGTCTAGTTGACTTTGAAAATGCTCAACATAACCTTTTTATACATGTGAATAGTCACCTACCCGTCTGAAAGACTCACCTGACTCAAAGTACTCGGGATCAATGTAGCCTCGTGAGTCGAGACCCCATCACGCCGGTGGTGACATGATCCTTCCAAATCTCCACTATGCACGCCAAGCCGAACCGGCTGTTGAGTTAACCCAATGCCCCGCTGACTAAACACCGACCAGCCTGGAAAGCTCACCTGACACAAAGTACTCTGGGTCGATGTACCCCCTTGACCCCATGACTCTGGTGGTCACATGATCCTTCCAATTCTCCACTATGCGCGCCAAGCCAAAGTCAGCCACCCGGGGGGACAGGCCCTGGGGATTGGTGTACAGGGGAGTGACAAAGAGTGGTGACAGAGGCTTTAAGTCGCGCCAACAACGTCTTTCCAGTTCTCCACTATGTGCGCAATGCCAAAGAAAGCCACCCGGGGGGACGGGCCTTTGGGGGGAGTGAGGAGGGGAGCGAAAGAGGGGAGCAGATGGGAGGAATTTGGAGGAGGGGACGAGACGAGAAGGGGAGTGAGTGAACAGGGGAGGGGAGTGCACATAGTGGGGACAAGCGGGGGGGAGAGGCGCGGTCTTGAAGTCGGGATGAGCCACAACACAGCACGACTCGCACCTCTGACAGCAGCACCAGTAAAGCCTAGGTGACTTTTGAGTTGACTCAAAAGCGGGGGGGAGAGGCGCGGTCTTGAAGTCGGGGTGAGTCATAACAACAGTAAAGCACGTCTCGCACCTCTGACAGCAGCACCAGTAAAGCCACACCTCTATGGCCACCTCTCTATAATCACCTCTGACAGCCAGCTGCCTGTTGGGCACCTTGAAGCCGCGGTGCATGCACTCCTGGCTGCGGACGAACGTGACTGGATGACAGCACTAGAGATAGATGCACCACTACCGCCACCTCACCACACTACTCCCATTGGTAGAATCACACTGTTAGTATCACCTCTGCCAGCAGCACATTCGACACCTTGAAGTCGCGGTGGATGAACGCCAGCGCCTCAAAGCACCTCAGTCTCAGCACAGTCACACCAACCAAGATAGGCACCTCAGTACACTCACACCAGCCTAGGCACCTCACTACAGTCACATCACAGTAATCACCTCTGCCAGCAGCACGTTGGGCGCCTTGAAGTCCCGATGCACGTACTCCTGGCTGTGGATAAACGCCAGCGCCTCGGCGCACCCCATGGCCACTCGCACGCGGTCCTTGAATGTAAACTCCTCCTTGCCCTCGCGCGCTGTGAGGGGGAGACGTAGGAGACCGGGGGGGGGGGAGGGAGGGGAGGGTTGTGCTGCCACGCGGGATGAAGTCCTGCCATGCTGCATCCGCGACTTCATGGCCATGTACTTGTAGATCATGGCCATGCTGTTGTCCGAGATGCATGCCCCCAGCAGTCTCTGAACCTCTGCAAACCACACAGAACCACACGCCACCCACACACCCATACACCCGCAAACAGCGCACATATACACCCACAGCAGGGGGACTGACCTCTCTCCAATAACTCGTGCACGTCGCCACACGGGATGAACTCGTAGATCATGGCCATGCTGTTGTCCGAGATGCACGCCCCCAGCAGGCGCAGGATGTTGGGGTGGCGCAGCTTGCCCATCACCATCATCTCCGTCTGGCGGGGGAAGGGGGGAGGGGGGGAGGTAGGAGTGAAGAGTGAATTTGTAGAATTCTCACAGGAGGGACGAGTGAAGAGTGAGGAGAGTGGAAGAAAGAGAACGAGTAGGACAGGCAGTGGAACGAGTAGAACAGGATGAGACTTGCTCCCAGCAGGCGCAGGATGTTGGGGTGGCGCAGCGCAGCTTGCCCATGACCATCACCTCCGTCTGGCAAGGGGATGGAGGAAGAGAGGGCGGGGAGGGGGAGGAAGGAGGAGGGGAAGGGGATGAGAATGGGAAGGGTCCTGAACAGCATACAATGTAGGATGTTGGGGAGGCGCAGCTGGCCCATCCCCATGATGAGGAGTCTATTTTTGAGGCGCCTCATGGGTGGCGCAGCTGGCGCCTCAGAAATAGACTCCTCATACAATGTAGGATGTTGGGGTGGCGCAGCGCAGCTGGCCCATCAGCTGGCCCATCAGCTGGCCCATCAGCTGGCCCATCAGCTGGCCCATCAGCTGGCCCATCAGCTGGCCCATCAGCTGGCCCATCAGCTGGCCCATCAGCTGGCCCATCAGCTGGCCCATCAGCTGGCCCATCAGCTGGCCCATCAGCTGGCCCATCAGCTGGCCAATCACCGTGCCCATCCCCATGCCCATCCCCATGCCCATCCCCATGCCCATCCCCATGCCCATCACCATGCCCATCACCATGCCCATCACCATGCCCATCCCCATGCCCATCCCCATGCCCATCCCCATGCCCATCACCATGCCCATCACCATGCCCATCCCCATGCCCATCACCATGCCCATCCCCATGCCCATCACCATGCCCATCCCCATGCCCATCCCCATGCCCATCACCATGCCCATCACCATGCCCATCCCCATGCCCATCACCATGCCCATCCCCATGCCCATCACCATGCCCATCCCCATGCCCATCACCATGCCCATCCCCATGCCCATCCCCATGCCCATCACCATGCCCATCACCATGCCCATCACCATGCCCATCACCATGCCCATCACCATGCCCATCACCATGCCCATCCCGATGCCCATCCCCATGCCCATCCCCATGATCTTGGTCTGACGGCAACATCTTAACCGCGCGCTCAGCACCTTAGCCGCACCCATCTTAACCGCAACCACCAACTCGCCCTCACATATCGCGCTCAATCAATCCCAAGTACCACATTCCACAACACGTACAGCCAAATCAACCAGCCCAAGCACCCCACCCACCATCTTACCATGAGTTGCTCCCGTGCGCTCAGCACCTTAGCCGCACCCATCTTAACCGCAACCACCAACTCGCCCTCACGTATCGCGCTCAGGTCAACCCCCAGCGACTCAGCAGCAGCCGCCGCCTCCCCACCGTCCTCCACCTTGAGGTACCCCTTGTACACCGCTCCGAACCCCCCTTCACCGAGCTTCTCCTTGAAGTTGTTGGTGGCGGCGGTCAGCTCGTCCATGGAGTACATGGGCGGGGCGCCGTCGCCGCCCAGAGGCTTTAAGTCCGGGTGAACGAAGGTCTTGTCCTCTTTGGGAGAAAGGGGAGAAAGGGGGAGAAAGGGGGAGAAAGAGGGAGAAAGGGGGGGCAAACGGGGAGGGAAAGGGGAGAAAAAGAGGGCAGGATTGGGGCTTTGTCTCCTTGAAATTTTTGGTGGCAGCGGTGAGCTTGTCCATGGTGCACACCGTCCTCCGCCTTGAGGTACCCCTTGAAGTAAGACCACAGCACGTTTCGCATTGCGGAATGCTTTCCGTTTAAAACGCGAGCAACTCAGGAAACCCGGCGAAAAAAAAAAAAAAAAAAAAAAAAAAAAAACGTCTCCGTGCACGTGAGTACCCCTCTCTTTCTTCTCCCCGCCGCCCATCCCCGATAAAAGCGCGACTCACTCTTCTTGCTCAACCCTCCGAGATTCTTCATCATCTTGCCGAAAGCGCCCTTCATAACGCCCACCAGACCGCAGCCACCCGAGCCTGCAGCAGCCCCAAGGCGAAACGAGTCTCAAAGCAGGAAGCGCCGCTACCCTGCCAGCGAGTCTCGAAGCAGGAAGTGCTTTTGAGTCGACTCAAAAGAAGCGCCGCTACCCAGTCGCTTTTTCTCGCTTTTAGAAGTGCGAGTCGCGCGTGCCAATGCAATGGTCGGCGCAGGAAATGCAGCTACCCTGCGTGAGGAGTCTATTTTTGAGGCGCCTCAAAAATAGACCCAGCGATGCAGCGAGTCTCGAAGCAGGAAATGCAGCTACCCAGTCGCTTGCTCTCGCTTTTAGAAGCGCGAATAGCGCGCGCCTGCAATCAAACTCTCGGCGACGGAAATGCAGCTACCCTGCGACGCAACGAGTCTCCAAGCAGGAAATGCAGCTACCCTGCGACGCAACGAGTCTCCAAGCAGGAAATGCGGCAGAGTAGATGCGCGAGCAGCGGGCGCCTGCAGCTACCCAGTCGCTTGTAAACTCGCTGTTAACAGCGCGAGCAGCGCGCGCCTGCAATGCAACGCTCGGCGCAGAGGGTTCGGAAGTCCAAGTAGCCGTTCGAGTCGCGATGAGTCGCTGGAAAATCCAATCCAATCCAATCCAATTTAATCCAATCCAATCCAATCCCATCTAGGCCGTCGATTGTACCCAGGAAAATACTTTCCTGCGTTCCTTAAAATAGTCCGCGCAGTCGCAGACACCCCGCCTTACGCCCCTTATTCTTCAAGAACCCCTCACTCGCACACGCTCCGCCCCAAAAAATCAAGTCCTGTACAGTACTGCACAGTCCAATATCTACTGTAGCCCGGGAGTTGACAAACATGTCCTGCACTGCTCCCTCCGCATAGGTCAAGGACAAGGCAAGCCGGCAACTTCGCGAGACTAGGTGAATCTCGCTATCCGCTATAAGATGCCTTTCCGGAAAAGCAGAAGCCGAGTCCGATGCAGTGTTCTGCACGCGTTACAACCACTGAAGTTTTTCAACCTAAATGTTGCAACCTAGCTAAAACCCACACCACAAACCCTTCACATTGTTTGAGAGATCATCCTTCCGAGTCCCTCAATCCACTCGCTTTGCCCGTATCTCGCTTAAGCTTCCCTACCAATTGCTCCATTTTAGGCCGATCCGACCAATCGGTGCACACTGCCAACCTGAAAACTTTTAGCACGGATCGCACGTGCTCCTCTGACCATTGCCCGGCGATAGTCTTGTCCATCACGACCCTCTCGAGCTTCTCCAGCGGGATCAGGCGCTCTTCAGCCGCCACTCTGATCGCCTTAAAGCCGCTCTCCTCCGCGCATTCGCCCGACAGAAGCTCCAGAAGGAAGATGCCAAACGCATACGTGTCGCAGTGGTTGGTGAGAAACCCTGGCGTTAGAACGGGAACAAGTGCGAGCGCGTGAGTAGTGGGAATACGCGCAAGTGTCGCAGTGGCTCGTGAAAGCTTGGGGTTCAAGAGGGGACAAAGTGTAGTGGACTTGGGTGTATGGAACGTGTAAAAGTCGACATATATGATATAGTGATTCATGTGAAACGGTCACTGGGGTCGATAGAACCTTGTTGCACCGTACCGGGTAGAAACTTGGAAAGGTAGTTGGGGTCAATGTAACCTGGTAACGCACCGGTGGAAAGGTAGTTGGGGTCGATGTAGCCCTGCGAGCCCCCGACCCGAGTGGTAACGTGTGTCTTCCAGTCGTCTATCAGCCGCGCCATGCCAAAGTCAGCCACCTTCGGCACCATCCCCTGGAAAGAGTAGGAAGGAAGGGCAGCAATGGGGGCAATGCGGAAGGCAGAGAGAGGTGAGCTGCGGGAGAGATGGGAAGAGAGGAAGTTCAGCCGAAAACAGCCACCTCTGGCACCGTCCCCTGGAAATGGCAGGAAAGACAGCAATGGGGGAAAATGCGGACGGTAGAGAGAGGTGAGCTGCGGGAGCCAATAGAACGATGCTCAACCAATTGTCTATCAGCCGCGCCAAGCTAAAGACAGCCACCTGCGCCACCATGCCCTGGAAAGAGTAGGAAGGAAGGGCAGCAATGGGGGGCAATGGGAAGGGCGGAGGGAGGAGGAAGGAGAGACGGGTAGCACCTGGTCCAGCAGCACCCAACCCATCAGCACCTGCAGCTGCACTCACCTGGTCCAGCAGCACGTTGGCCGCTTTGAAGTCCCAGTGGATGTACCCCTTGCTGTGGATGAGCATGCTCCAGGGTGCTTCAGAGCCCCTACATCCACCATTATAATCACACCCTCTCACTCACCTGGTCCAGTAGCACGTGGGCCACTGTGAAGTCCCGGTGGATGTACCCCTTGCTGTGGATGAACGCCAGCGCTCTAAGGCACTGGGCTTTTAAGGCAGGGGGCTCTAAGGCAAGGTGCAGCTAAAGCCATTCTCACCTGGTCCAGCAGTACGTTAGCCGCCTTGAACTCGCGGTGCATGTACCCCTTGCTGTGGATGAACGCCAGGGCTTTTAAGGCAGGGGGCTCTACCTAAAGCAGGGGGCTCTAAGGCAAGGTGCAGCTAAAGCCATTCTCACCTGGTCCAGCAGTACGTTAGCCGCCTTGAACTCCCGGTGCATGTACCCCTTGCTGTGGATGAACGCCAGCGCCTTGAGGTGCCTCTATCTAGACCACCAAAGCTCAACACACCCACTCACACACACACACGCACCTGGTCCAGCAGCACATTAGCGGCCTTGAAGTCCCGGTGGATGTACCCCTTGCTGTGGATAAACGCCAGCGCCTCCCCCACCTGTTCTGCTATGCGCATCCGCGCAGCCCAGTCGAATGAGTCGGTTCTGTTACGCACTGGGGGGCGGGAGAAAGGGAAGGGGGGGCGAGGGGCTCAAGATTCAAATCACAAGCCACCTGCTCTGCTATGCACATCCGTGCAGCCCAGTCAAAGGAGTATGCGCCGTTCTGCACTGCAGAAAGAGTGGAAGGGAATAGGGGGAGAGGGACTCTAGGGTCAAGAGAGGGCCACCTCTTCAAGAGAGGGACTCTTGGTGCAAGAGGCTCTATAGTACAACCAAGGAGCAAGGAATGGTTGGAACGGAAGGCACTCCTATTGGCTACAAGAGTGGCCAATGGGAGAGGTAGCTTGGAGGGGAAGCAACCCCAAAGTGTGGTGGTTGCTGATTGGTGGAGCCTTGGGACCATTCGGTTGGAAAGTGCCAACCAAAGGACCAAGGCCAAATCCAATCTTGACCAACCAAATTTGTGGTTGGTGATCCCAACCAACAACCCCCCAATAACTTAAATGTCTACACCTCCTATTCTAGTCATGCATCATGTATGTAATAATATACTACAACAAGAGCCCCATTCTGGCGGTCAGAGCCTCATTCTGGCGGTCAGAGCCCCATTCTAGCGGTCAGAGTCCCATTCTGGCGGTTAGAGCCCCATTCTGGCGGTCAGAGCCCCATTCTGGCGGTCAGAGCCCCATTCTGGCAGTCAGAGCCCCATTCTGGCAGCCAGAGCCCCATTCTGGCGGCCAGAGCCCCATTCTGGCGGTCAGAGCCCCATTCTGGCAGTCAGAACCCCATTCTTTTGGCATGGCTCAGACGGCATGGCTCGGTTGGCATGGCTCGGGCGGCATGGATTGGGCGGCTTGCCTCGGGCGGCATTGATCGGGCGGCAAGGCTCAGGCGGCATGGCTCTGTCGGCATGGCTCGGACGGGATGTTTCGGGCAGCATAGCTGAGGCGGCAGGGCTCGGGCAGCATGGCTTGGGCGACTTGCCTCGGGCGGCATAGCTCGGGCAGCAAGGCTCGGGCGGCATTGCTCGCTCGGCATGGTTTGGGCGGCTTGCCTCGGACGGCATGGATCGGGCAGCATGGCTCGTGCGACATGGCACGGGCGGCATGGCTCGGGCGGCATGGATCGCGTGGCACTGCTCGGGTGGCATGGCTCGGGCGGCATGGCTCGGGCGGCATAGCTTGGGTAGCATGGCACGGGCGGTATGGCTCGGTCGGCATGGCTCGGGCGGCTTGCCTCGGACGGCATGGCACGGGCGGCATGGCTCGGGCGGCATAGCTTGGGCGGTATGGCACAGGTGGTATGGCTCGGTCGGCATGGCTCGGGCAGCTTGCCTTGGGCGGCAAGACTCGGGCGGCATGGCTCGGGCGACGGGCGGCATGGCTTGGGCGGCTCGCCTCGGGCCGCAAGTCTCGAGGGATATGGCTCGGGCGGCATGGCTCGGGCGGCATGGGTTGGGCGGCTTGCCTAGTGCGGCAAGGCTCGGGGGAGATGGCTCGGGCGGCATGGCTCAGGTGGGCTAACTCGGGCAGCATGGCTTGGGCGGCATGGCTCGGGTGGCATGGCTTGGGCGGCATGGGTTGGGAGGCTTGCCTCAGGCGGCATGGATCGGGCGGCAAGGATCACGCCGCATGCCTCGGTCGTCATGGCTCGGGCGGCTTGCCTCGGGCGGCATGGTTCGGGGGATATGGCTCGGGCGGCTTGGTTCGGGCGGCATATCTTGGGCGGCATGACTCGGGCGGCATGGCTCAAGCGGCGTGGCTTGGGCGGCATGGCTCAGGCGGCAAGGCTCGGGTGGCTTGCCTCGGGCGGCAAGGCTCGGGCGGCATGGCTCTGGCGGCATGGCTCGGTCGGCATGGCTCGGGCGGCATGGCTCAGGCGGCATAGCTCGGGCAGTATGACTTTGGCAGCATTGCTTGGGCGGCTTGCCTAGTGCGGCAAGGCTCGGGCGGCATGGCTCGGGCGGCATAGCTCGCGCAGCATGGCTCGGGTGGCATGGCTTGGGCGGCATAGCTTGGCGGCAAGTTTCTGGCGGTCAGAGCCCCATTCTGGCGGTCAGAGCCCCATTCTGGCGGTCAGAGCTCCATTCTGGCGGTCAGAGCCCCCATTCTGGCGGTCAGAGCCCCATTCTGGCAGTCAGAACCCCATTCTGACGGTCAGAGCCCCCATTCTGGCGATCAGAGCCCCATTCTGGTGATCAAAGCTCCATTCTGGGGGTCAGAGTCCCCTCCATCGGCGTGCACCGGTGGACGCCACCATCCACCATCCACCGGTGAACACGGACACTGTCCACCGTCCACCGACGTCCACCGTCCACCGACGACCACCGTCCACCGTCGACCGGCGTCCACCGTCCACCGTCCACAGGCGTCCACCGTCCACCGTCCACCAGCGTCCAGCGTCCACCGGCGTCCATCGGTGGACGCCGTCCACCGTCCACCGTCCACTGGCGCCCACCGGTTGACGCCGTCCACCGTAAACTGTCCACCGGCGTCCACCGTCCACTGGTGGACGCCGTCCACCGTGCACCAGCGTCCACCATCCGGCGTCCACCGGTGAACATCGACACCGTCCACCGTCCACCGTCCACCGGCGTCCACTGTCCAACTTTCCACTGGCGTCCACTGGTGGACGCCGTCCACCGTCCACCGGCGTCCACCAGTGGAAGCCATCCACCGTCCACCGTCCACGGTCTACCGGCGTCCAGCGACCATCAGCGTCCACCTGGACGCTGTCCACCATCCACCGTCCACCGTCCACAGGCGTCCACCGGTGGACGCCGTCCACCGTTCACCGTCCACCATCCACCGGTGGACACAATCCACCGTCCACCGTCCACCGTGCACCCGTGTACACTGTCCACTGCCGTCGACTGGTGGACGCCGTCCACCGTCCACCGCTGTCCTCCGCTGGATGCTGTCCACCGCAGTCCATCGGTGGACGCCGTCCACCATCCACCAGTGGACGCCGTCCACCGTCCACCATCCACCAGTGGACGCCGTCCACCGTCCACCAGTGGACGCCGTCCACCATCCACCGTCCGCCGGCGTCCACCGATGGGGGTAGTGGTGGCACGGGAGGTAGTGGCACGGGGGTTACTGCCACGGGTGGTAGTGGCACGGGTGACGATAGTGGCACGGGTGGTAATGGCACGGGTGGTAGTGGCACGGGGGGTAGTGGCACGGGGGGTAGTGGCACGGGTGGTAGTGGCACGGGGGGTAGTGGCACGGGGGGTAGTGGCACGGGGGGTAGTAGCACGGGGGGTAGTGGCGCGGGTGTTAGTGGCACGGGTGGTAGTGGCTAAGGGGGTAGTGGCACGGGTGGTGGTAGTGGCACGGGTGTTAGTGGCATGGATTCTGGCGGTCAAAGCCCCCATTCTGGCGGTCAGAGGCCCCATTCTGGCGGTCAGAACCCCATTCTGGCGGTCAGAGCCCCATTCTGGAGGTCAGTGCCCCCATTCTGGCGGTCAGAGGCCCCATTCTGCCGGTCAGAACCCCATTCTGGCTGTCAGAGGTGCACTCTAGTCTCCCCCAGCGTTCCCAGAGATGCACACAGAGACACATCAAACAGCTTCTTATACTCGCCATACACTCTCCTCTCCCGATTCTCACCTCTCCCCATATGCTCTCCTCCCCCGATCACCTGTCCCCATACGCTCTCCTCTCCTTATGCTCACCTCTCCAGCAGCAGGTCAAACACCATGGCTAGCGTCTCCCCCAGCGTTGCCACATGAGGCACCTATCCCCGAGGCATACACACTTATTGCACATACCTGTCCCCATATATTCACCTCTCTCCAGCAGCAGGTCCACGTCCCCATTGGGCACAAACTCAGACACCATGGCTAGCGTCTCCCCCAGGGTGGCCACTCCCAGCAGGCGTAGGATGTACGGGTGCTGCACTGCTGTCATCACCATCACTTCCGTCTGCAGCAATAGAGGCACAGGGTGTTGGGGGGTGTATGAGGCACAGGGATAAGGAGACGGCATTCAGTGGCCGGAGGATGTACGGGTGCTGCACTGCTGTCATCACCATCACCTCGATCTGCAGGATAAGGGGGGGATGGGAAGGGATGGGAAGGGATGGGATGGGGTGGAGGTTGAAGTACCCAGAAGCCTGAGGATGTAGGGGTGCTGCACTGCTTTCATCACCATCACTTCGGTCTGCAGGGAGAATAGGGCACAGAGCAGAGTGTTGGTAGTGAATCATCGACGCACGTCAATGCAAGCGCAACCCAGCAGCAGCATCAGGATGTACGGATGCTGCACCGCTGTGATCACCATCACCTCGGTCTGCAGAAAAGGGATGGGAACTGATGGGTTGGAGGTTCACATCTGTAGCACCAAGCACCAATCAGCACCGCACAGTACCACTCAACATGAGCTGTTTTTTCTCGCTGTCCTTGGTCTCACTCGTTCACATCTTGCTGACTGCTCCATCAGCCTCAAGAACCACTCAGCACCGCACAGCACAACTCACAGCACAGTACAGCACCGCACAGCACCACTCACCATCAGCTGCTCCCTGCCGCTGTCCTTGAAGCCACTCGTGCGCATCTTAACCGCCACCGCCACCAGCTGCTCCCCTCCCTCTCATCACCACAGCACCTCACAGCACCATACCCCACAGCACCACACCCCACAGCACCGCACAGCACCACTCACCATGAGCTGCTCCCTGCCGCTGTCCTTGATGCCACTCGTGCACATCTTACCCGCCACTGCCACCAACTGCTCCCCTCCCTCACATCACCACAGCACCTCACACAGCACCATACCCCACAGCACCGCAGAGCACCACTCACCATCAGCTGCTCCCTGCCGCTGTCCTTGATTCCACTCGTGCACATCTTAACCGCCACTGCCACCAGCTGCTCCCCTCCCTCTCCCTTCTCTCCCCCCAATCCTCCCTCCCGCCCAGCACTGCTGCCACTGTTCCCAGCGCTGACGCTGCTGCCAATGCTGCCGCCGCTGGCAATGCCGCCAACGCTGCTGCTTCTACCACTGGCACTCCTCAGGTACCCCTTATAGACAGTCCCGAATCCCCCTTCGCCTATTTTATGCTTCCAGTTGTTGGTGGCGACAGTGAGCTCGTCCTTGGTGTAGTGTGGCAGGGCACCGTCTGGGCCTACTGGCTTCATGAGGGGATAGACGACTGGTGTGGCCTTGCCCTCTGCATTCGGGGGGTAGATGGGCGGATGGAGGTGAGGGGGGGCGGCATTTTAGTTGTTGGTCGCGGCAGTGAGCTCGTCCAAGGTGTAGTGTGGCAGGGAGCCATCAGGCCCTACTGGCTTCATGAGGGGATAGACGGCTACTGAGGCATCGCTTTCTGTTACAGCGGGGAGAGGGGGGGGGGGGGGGGGGGAGGGGTTGGGAGGAGAGGGGGGTTTGGGGCGGTGGGGGATGAAGACACGTTTGTAGGGGTTGGCTGCTGCAGTGGACTCGTCTCTGCTGCAGTGGGCTCGTCTCTGCTGCAGTGGGCTCGTCTCTGCTGCAGTGGGCTCGGCCCTGCTGCAGTGGTCTCGGCCCTGCTGCAGTGGGCTCGGCCCTGCTGCAGTGGGCTCGAGTCTGCTGCAGTGGGTTCGGCCCTGCTGCAGTGGGCTCGGCCCTGCTGCAGTGGGCTCGGCCCTCCTGCAGTGGGCTCGGCTGTGCTGCAGTGGGCTTGGCCGTGCTGCAGTGGGCTCGGCCGTGCTGCAGTGGGCTCGGCCGTGCTGCAGTGGGCTCGGCCGTGCTGCAGTGGGCTCGGCTGTGCTGCAGTGGGCTCGGCCGTGCTGCAGTGGGCTCGGCTGTGCTGCAGTGGGCTGGGCCGTGCTGCAACGTGGCAGCGCGCCATCCATCAAGGCCACTGACTCACTGATGCCTCGCCACGCCACGCGCCTTTCGACTCAACTTGTACAACTTACCTGCAACGCACCTTACCGGATCAGCACATGTCCTCACTCACCCACTCACTCACTCACTCACCCACTCACTCACTCACCCACTCACTCACTCACTCACCCACTCACTCACTCACCCACTCACTCGCTCATCCACTCACTCGCTCACTCACTCACTCACTCTGCACGACTTGCCTGGACGCCCACGGAGCAATGACTCGCCGCTCTGCCCTTGGCTCTCAGCCGCCGCTGAGGCTGACGCGCCACCTTCCTTTGGAGTCCACTCAAACTCCACCTAACTCCACCAAAGCAAGTCAAAGCACCCTCTCAAGGCACCCATTAACGGACCACCCACTCACGGACCATCCACTCACGAACCACTCACTCACGGACCACTCACTCACGGACCACGCACTCACGGACCACTCACTCACCGACCACGCACTCACGGACCACGCACTCACGGACCACGCACTCACGGACCACGCACTCACGGACCACGCACTCACGGACCACGCACTCACGGACCACGCACTCACGGACCACTCACTCACGGACCACGCACTCACGGACCACGCACTCACGGACCACTCACTCACGGACCACGCACTCACGGACCACGCACTCACGGACCACTCACTCTGTGCGAACCGCCTGAACGCTCCGCGGAGTGACGCCATGCCGCCCCGCCTCTCGCCACCCGCGTCCGGCGGCCCTGACTGGACCTCGAAGCACATGCGTTGCACCGCACGTCACCGCGAGGAACTGGACGGAACCGCAGTCCTTGAATGGGCCCGCTATTCAGGAAATGTCGGTGAGGCTGACGTGCCTGGCGCCTCCTCTGGCGCCACCTAGACGCCGACGCACGTGCGCTGCACCGCACGTCACCGTGTGGAACCGGACAGAACGGTAGTCCAGGAAATGGTCCGTTATTCGGGTATTGTCGGTGAAGCTGACGTGCCTGGAGCCTCTTCAGGTAGTGTCGCTTAAGTGCCTAACTTATACCCAATAACGCATGACATTCCTTATGGGATCAGGCGTATCAGGTAAAAGAACCGAACAGAGCCGAGCTTTCCGTTTTCTGGGTTCCGGTTTCCGGTCACCGATTGCGTGCGGTCAGCTAGTGGGGCCTAATCAACTTAGCCACGAGGAGCGTGGTTACCATAGAATGAGCTTCTCGGATGGTGGTGATCTGGTAGGCGAGACACGTCAGCAGTTCTGGACAATGATTGGTAGTCAAGGGAGCAAGAATACACGGCCAGTCTGACGGTGAAAGCATCAGAAAATGTCAGTTCCTTGTGGTCAGGAAGAAGGGATTTTTCCAGGTCAGTTCAACAGGGTCCTAGGGAGGGAACTGCAGACCTCAATGGAATGGATATCCTCGTCTTTAGGCATGTGGATGTAGCGGCTGAGCCTTGCCATTCTTGTCTGCGGAATAACTGAGGAATAACTGAATGAATTATAAAACATCATACTCCAGTATGTGCCACATGAGCCATCACGCGGGCCTCACCTAATATTGGATGTCACTTCAAAGTTTTTTTCGTATTTAGAACATAACCACATTGTGAGATGATACAAACATTAGACGAAGAATCTTGTGTCGTCCGTAACTCCGTACTACAGTACAACAAATCAGGTGACTCAAGGAGCCTATTGTATCAGGGGAGGGTTTTCCGAAACAGAGGTTCTTGTTTGGATTGGTTGGAGACAAGACGAACCGCAGCGCACACAAAACCTCCCCCGCTTCAGGTTCCATTCAACTGCCCATGCCCGCACTTCCCCCCAGGTACAGTTCACGGGCGTGATCTTACGGCAGATCGGGCTACACTTTGGTCCCAAGCAACGGCGGAGATGCAGCAAGAATTGTCCACAGGCGCGACCTGGATTAAAGTCCTCGCGCACACCTTTCCCCACCATCACCCCCGCTTCCCTTTGCTTTGTCCCCCTACCCTGCGGAAATCCCCCGCATCCCGCCCAGTGCGCACAACAGCTGGTGAAATCGAAGGTGTTGCGCTGCGCTGGCTCCCCCGTCCCCTCCCCGCGAGTTCACTTCACCCTTTCACCAATCGCAGTAGGCCCTTGAAGCTCCCCTGCCCTTGGTAGCTCCAATGTATCTTGAGACCTCGGAGTCACCTGATCAGCGTTGTTGCAATTTCAGTAGTTTTGTCAGGAGTTTTCTCTTGATGGCATAGCGCCGATTCCTGCAAAGCAGCAGGCCGATTCGGTGGATTATCCATGCGCGTTGTTTCATTGAGTACCGTGAACCATACGGAGCCGTTACAGATTCGATCATGGTGATTACTCGACGGAATCGACGCCATGGCCGCACAGCGGGAGCTGGCGGTCACGGTCCTGGCGAGAGGTCGTCGTGGTTTCGACTCAGCCACGTGGCGTGGAGTGGTAGATTCTGGCTTATCTGCATCTCGCTAGTCGCGGGTTACAACCTCCTCGTTCTAAATCTCGCAGGTCAGACGCTTACTTGAAGTATTAATGATGACTTTAATAGTATTCCAAACGAACAACGCATCGTTCTACAACTAGGTAGTGCGAGCTCTCACCTTATTAGCCGTGTTCCTATCCTTAAGTTTATTAACATCTTCAGTGGCTGGATGTCACTCGACGGTCATAGTTCTGTTCTGACCATCTTAGCGTTAATACCCTTCGACCATATCAGACTGGGATAGGAAATACAATAAATTTACAGTATACGGAATCGGATAGGAATGTCAACCAGTACCGATTCTGAACCTTGTGGCCGAATCTCGTGATACGAGTCATACGACTCACTGGTGTATCTTCCAAGCACAGTCTCTGGAAATTCGCGTCACATCCCATCGATACATCTTTCCCCACCAAATCCATTCCCCTCGCGTGCCCAGTCAATGGAATCGCTCTCGTTTTTACCGCGATGAACCGAACCGGATCGTCTTCCACTCCAACCAAGCATCCCTCCGTGCTTAACCCTGCTCGAGTTCAAGAAACCTGTTTCTTGGTCGAGCTGCTCACCTCTTCCATTTCGCCAATGTCTTTCATTTCGTCCATTTCGTCAATGTCTTTCATCGCACGAATCTCTTCCATTTCGTCATTTTTGTCTCATCACTAAAAAATTAATCCATTTCGTGTGTCGTCAATGTCGCTCGTCGCACCCCGTGTCAGGCCGGGAGGTGGACAGCCCCCCTCTCCGCGTGTGGTCCTTCCTGCTGGGCGGGAGTGAGGTGGACCGCGTACCTGGCGACCCCGCATTGGCGGACGAGCCCACCGCTGACGTCACCACCAAGGCTCTGTACGACGAGATCGCGTTCGAGAATCTGCCTGGAGGCGTGTGGACGCAGGTGGGTGGGCAGGGGCGAGTGGGGGAGGGCGAATATGGTTTTAGGCGCTTTAACAAATACTGAGGTCGCGTTCGAGATTCTGCCTGGAGGCGTGTGGACGCAGGTGGGTGGGCAGGGGCGCGAGTGAGCACGGGCGAGTGAGCACGGGCGAGTGAGCACGGGTGAGTGAGCACGGGCGAGTTAGCACGGGTGAGTGAGCACGGGTGAGTGAGCACGGGTGAGTGAGCACGGGTGAGTGGACAAGGGCGAATGTTTTATAGGCGCTTTCACAAATAATGATGTGTTTGAGAATCTGCCTGGAGGCGTGTGGACGCAGATGGGTGGGCAAGGGCGAGTGAGCACGGGTGAGTGTGCACGGGTGAGTGTGCAAGGGCGAGTGTGCAAGGTGAGTGCAAGGGAGAGTGGGCAATGGCGAGTGTGCAAGGGCGAGTGTGCAAGGGCGAGTGTGCAAGGGCGAGTGTGCAAGGGCGAGTGCAAGGGTGAGTGCAAGGGCGAGTGTGCAAGGGCGAGTGTGCAAGGGCGAGTGTGCAAGGGCGAGTGCAAGGGTGAGTGCAAGGGCGAGTATGCAAGGGCGAGTGTGCAAGGGCGAGTGCAAGGGTGAGTGCAAGGGCGAGTGTGCAAGGGCGAGTGTGCAAGGGAGAGTGCAAGGGTGAGTGCAAGGGCGAGTATGCAAGGGCGAGTGTGCAAGGGTGAGCGGAAGGGTGAGTGCAAGGGAGAGTGGTTAAGGGCGAGTGTGCAAGGGCTAGTGTGCAAGGGTGAGTGTGCAAGGTGAGTGCAAGGGAGAGTGGGCAATGGCGAGTGTGCAAGGGCGAGTGTGCAAGGGCGAGTGTGCAAGGGCGAGTGTGCAAGGGCGAGTGTGCAAGGGCGAGTGTGCAAGGGCGAGTGTGCAAGGGCGAGTGTGCAAGGGCGAGTGTGCAAGGGTGAGTGTGCAAGGGCGAGTGCAAGGGTGAGTGCAAGGGCGAGTATGCAAGGGCGAGTTTGCAAGGGTGAGCGGAAGGGTGAGTGCAAGGGAGAGTGGTTAAGGGCGAGTGTGCAAGGGCGAGTGTGCAAGGGCGAGTGCTAGGATTGTTGGAAGGGGGCACTGAGATGGCCCAGAGGGGTCCCCCTGAAGGGCTACAGGTGTCGTCCTGGGGGGGTGTGGGTGCGCTGACCCACCATACAAACATGCCCTTTTATCCCAGTTGGTTAGCGAACTGGAGCTATCCCTTCAAGGGTGAGTGCAAGGGCGAGTGCAAGGGTGAGTGGGTAAGGCTTGGTGTGGTGAGTTTTCAAGGGAGACTTCACGGGTGAGCGGGGTATGACAAAAAGGAACTTGTTTAAAGCGCTTAAGTGGAGAGGTACCAGTGCGCTCTGTGCTTCCCCTTCCCCAGATACCCCTGGTTTCGTTGAATTTATGCCGACGAAACACCTGTGTGTGTCCTTTAACAGGGCTTTCCCCTCCAGTACACCGGGCATGAGTGGGACAAGGAGCCGCTGAGAGTGCTCGTGGTACCCCACTCCCACAACGACCCGGGGTGGCTGCAAACAGTGGAGGAGTATTACATGTCGAGCACACGCGGCATCATAGACACCATCGTCAATGTCCTCTCGGAGGTATGTGCTTATAGCGGGTATGCCTGTAGTGAGTGTGCTTGCGCCGAGGGTGCTATGTGTGCTATGTGTGGTTCAGCTGATGCGAGGTGGCTGCAGACAGTTGAGGTGTATTACGAGTCGAGCACACAGGGCATCATCGACACCATCTTCAACGTCTTATCAGGCATGTGTGCTTGTAGCGGGTATGCATGTAATGAGTGAGCTCGTGCTGAGGGCGCTATGTGTGGTTCAGCTCAAGCGCAGGGAGGTGAATATCGTAAGGCTTGTCGTGGATATGTACGGTCAGATCGTGGATATGTACGGTCTGGTCTGGATTAGCCTCTCTCTGAGACGACTCTCTTTTTTCCCTCTCTCCCCGCCTCCATCCCCTTTAGAAACCGACTCGCAAGTTCACATGGGAGGAGATGTCGTACCTGTTGCGATGGTGGATGGATGCTAGTGAGACCACAGTCCTGTCTTTGAACTACCCTCTACCTTCCCACCCCCTCCATTGCCGTTCTCATCCCCCTTTGAAACCGACTCGCAAGTTCATATGGGAGGAGATGTCGTACCTGTCGCGATGGTGGATGGATGCTAGTGAGACCACGGTCCTGTCTTTGAACTACCGTCTACCTTCCCACCCCCTCCATTGCCATTCTCATCCCCCTTAGAAACCGACTCGCAAGTTCATATGGGAGGAGATGCCGTACCTGTCGCGATGGTGGATGGATGCTAGTGAGACCACGGTCCTGTCTTTGAACTACCCTCTTCCTTCCCACCCCCTCCATTGCCGTTCTCATCTCCCTTAGAAACCGACTCGCAAGTTCATATGGGAGGAGATGCCGTACCTGTCGCGATGGTGGATGGATGCTAGTGAGACCACGGTCCTGTCTTTGAACTACCCTCTACCTTCCCACCCCCTCCATTGCCGTTCTCATCTCCCTTAGAAACCGACTCGCAAGTTCATATGGGAGGAGATGTCGTACCTGTCGCGATGGTGGATGGATGCTAGTGAGGAGATGAAGGGCAAGCTCAAGACGCTGATTCGAAGCGGGCAGCTGGAGATAGTGGGCGGCGGATGGGTCATGAATGACGAGGTGAGACGGTGGGTTGGGTATAGGCAAACAATAGCAATAGAGTGGTAGCAATAGGGTGGTAGAAATGGAGTAGTAGCAATAGAGTGAGGTGGATGTGAGTGCGGAGATGAAGGGCAAGCTCAAGGCGTGGATTCAAAACGGGCAGCTGGAGATAGTGCGTGGGGGATGGGTTATGAACGATGAAGTGAGATTGTGGGATGAACGGGATGGGTCACGGCTCACAGTAGTGCCTTGTCCCATCCAGCGCTGCTCTTTACCTTAACTGCACACCCTCGTGGCTGCCCATGCCCCCCCATGCCCCATGCCCCATGCCCTGTTACCTTGAGTTCTGCTGCTCTCTCAACTCTGCTTCTCTGTCCGTCCGTCCTTGTGTGCGCTGGCCAACTCCCACTACTTCTGAGGCGCCTCAAAAGCTGCCCATGCCCCATGCCGTGTTACCTTGAGCTCCGCTGCTCTCTCATCTCAACCCTTCTGCCCTTGGCTGCCTATGTCTCTGCTTCTCTGTCCGTCCGTCCTTGTGCGTGCGCAGGCCAACTCCCACTACTTCGCCATCCTCGAACAGGTACCTCTGATCGCTCCCCAATTCTCCATTCATTCCCTCAATGGTACCTAAATGGTGCGTTCCCCCATGTATTCTCTTCTGCTTATCCACCAGCCACCCCTGAAGATATGCCACGCACACAGAGAGATGCCAAATGCCTCTTTCAGTTAGTACCCCACTTCCTCCTTCTTTGGTTTTGCATCTCTCGACTTGCATCGTTCGCTCCATCCTTCTATGCTGTTCCCTTCACGCCTTACTCTCCCCCCTTCCCCAGATCACCGAGGGCAGCAAGTGGCTGCATGACGCAATAAGCGTGGTGCCTGCCAATTCATGGTCAATCGACCCCTTTGGCTACAGTGCCACCAGCTGTACCTGGTGTGTGTAACCCATTCCCTGCTCTGCCCCTTTTGATGTTCCCCCCTCACCCTTATTCCAGATCACAGAGGGCAACACGTGGCTACATGACGCAATAGGCGTGGTACCTGCCAACTCGTGGTCCATCGACCCCTTTGGCTACAGCGCCACCATGCCCTACCTGCTGCAGCGGTCAGGCTTCCACAACATGCTCATCCAGCGCGTGCACTACGAGCTCAAGAAAGTCTTAGCTAAGCGCCGGCACTTAGAGTTCTACTGGCGCCAGGCGTGGGATAAGAGTGGCGGGAAGGAGGCCCCGTGGGGGGTAGTGGAAGGAGGAGTAGGAGCAGGAGTGGGAGAAGGGGGGGGTGGAGAAGGGGGGGAACAAGCAGCAGCAGCAGCAGCAGGAGGAGCAGCAGTAGGAGCAGAAGGAGGAGCAGCAGCAGTGGGTGGTGCAGCGGGAAAGACGGACATTCTGTGCCACATGATGCCGTTTTACTCGTACGACATCCCGCACACGTGCGGCCCCGATGCGTCCGTGTGCTGTCAGTTTGACTTTGCCCGCGTGCCCGGCGGCGAGCACACATGCCCCTGGGGCATCCCTGCTCAATTGATCACACAAGAGAACGTGGAGGCGAGGGCCAACATCATCCTCGACCAAGTGAGGCACACCCCCCCCTCCCCCCCAACCCCCTCCCCTCCCCCCCCCCCCCCCCCTGCACCCCCGTGTGCATGCTTGTCCGTGTGCTGTGCTGCCAGTTTGACTTTGTTAGGTTTTTATAATTCTCACGAACTGAGCTCTCGTGCCCCTAGGAGATGACTTCCGCTACCCCACCATGGCTGAGCTTCAGCGCCAGTTCACCCAAGCTCCCATCTTTCTCCTCCTCCCCCACCTTTTCCTCTCCACATCTGTTCCTTACTCAGTGGCGCAAGAAGTCCCTGCTCTTCCGCTCCAACGTCGTGCTCGTCCCCCTGGGAGATGACATCCGCCACCCCACCATGGCTGAAGGCTTTTGAGTCTTGACTTTTGAGTCGACTCAAAAGTCGTGCTCGTGCCCCTGGGAGATGACTTCCGCCACCCCACCATGGCTGAAGGCTTGAAGCGCACCGCCAGCCAGTTCCTGAAGACCCTTATGTCCTCCCCACTTTCTCCACCTTCCCTGCCCGTCTCCCCTTCCAGTGGCGCAACAGGTCCCCGCTCTGCTCTGTTGTTCCAATTTGGTGCTCATCCCTCTGTGCGACGACTTCCGCTATCCCACCATGCGCGAGGCGCAGCGCTAGTTCACCAACTAGGAGAGAATCTTTGCGTGTTTTGAGTCGACTCAAAACACGTCTCCCATTTTTCAGTTTTGAGGCGCCTCAAAACACGTCTCCCACCACCCAAAGTGGTGCTGCAACATGGCTGAGGCGCACCGCCAGTTCACCAACTACGAGAGAATGTCGTGCTCTTCCCCCTAGCAGATGACTTCTGCTACCCCATCATGGCTGAGGCGCAGCGCCAACCCCCTCTCCCCTCTCCTCCCCCCTCCCCCTTCCCACCCTCCAGTGGCGCAAGAAGTCCCTGCTCTACCGGTCCAATGGCGTGCTCGTCCCCCTAGGAGATGACTTCCACTATCCCACCATGGCCAAGGTGCACCACCAGTTCACCCAAGCTCCCATCTTTCTCCTCCTCCCCCACCTTTTCCTCTCCACATCTGTCCCTTACTCAGTGGCGCAAGAAGTCCCTGCTCTACCGCTCCAACGTCGTGCTGGTCCCTCTGGGGGACGACTTCCGCTATCCCAGAATGGATGAGGCGCAGCGCCAGTTCACCAACTACGAAAGAATCTTTGAGTATCTCAACAGCCGCCCGGAACTTCGAGTCAACGCCAGCTTCGGCACCCTGGGGGACTACTTCGACGCCATCAGAGCGGCTGCTGTTAGAGAGGCGTCTCTTAACGAGGCGTCTTATAACGAGGCCTCTGCTAAAGAGGCGTCTCTTAACGCGGCTGCTGTCACAGAGGCGTCTCTTGATTCGCACACACGCCACACCCTCTCCACGCACCCGTCCACTCCCCCCTCCCTCTTCCACACTCTCCCCTCCTCGCTCCGCCCGCGCCTCCCCTCCCTCTCGGGTGATTTCTTCACCTACGCGGATCGCGATCACGACTACTGGAGTGGCTACTACACCTCCCGCCCATTCTGGAAGGCAGTAGACCGGGTCCTAGAGTCTGCTGTGCGGGCTGCAGATATTCTCTTTGCGCTCACGTGGTCGCAGCTGCAGGCGAGGGGAGAGGGGGCAAGGGGAGGGAAGGGGCTGATAGGGGCGGTGATGGGGGGAGCGAGTGGGGGAGGGGGGAGCGGGGGGCGGGGGGAGGTGGGGGAGGTGATGGAGAGATTGGCGGAGCAGGCTGAGTGGATGAAGAGAGGAGGGGAAGGAGGGAGGGGTGGGAGGCAGCTCGCAGAGGATAATTTCAGGCATCTGCTGTTTCCGCTCAAGTGAGGGCCTGGTGCTCTTTCCTCTGAGTGTTGGATACTAGACACCACTGCTGGATTAGGGTTTTGATGGCACACTTTGTTCCCTGAACCCAGCCCGTCACTTCGATTGCTCAACCTGCTTTTTTGTTCCAAGGCTGCTCGAAAACACCTGTTTTGTATTCCTTTAATCCTCACCCCCCTCCCCCCCCGCCTCCTCCTACCTTCTCTTCCAGCTTTGCAGAAAGGCTGGTGCGGGCGCGGAGGAACCTGGCGCTGTTTCAGCACCATGACGGCATCACCGGCACGGCAAGGGACCCGGTAGTTGTGGACTATGGGCTGCGCATGCACACTGCCCTCAACGACCTCAATGTACGTCCGGCATGCAATTAGACCAGCGCTCGGCTTCAGCAACATAGGGGCATCACAGCAGCGGTGGTTGTGGACTATGGGCTGCGCATGCACACCGCTCTCAACGACCTGAACGTACGTGCAGCACCGAGTGACCTCCACGTACGTCCACTGGCAGCACAGACAAGTGTCCTGTTCCAGGCAGCAGAAATCCGGTGGTTGTGGACTATGGGCTGCGCATGCACACCGGCCTCAACGACCTGAACGCACGTCCGGCATGCTGCATGATCACGTGCTCTGAATGTACACACGTTTACTGGTAGCATGGACACGTGCGGTTGGCATTCCACCGCCCATTTTCCCGCCTTTCCCGCCCTTCGTCTCCTCTTCTCACTCTTCAGACCAGACCTCATGTGCGCTGCTGCGGTGTCCTCTTGGTGTATCGACATCCCTCTTCTCCCTCCCGAATCCCTCCTATGTCCCCTCACCTTTTTTTCACCTGCCAGGACCTCATGTGCGCTGCTGTGGTGTCTCTCCTCCTGACCGACTCCCCCACGCAAGACCCCGAGAAGTCGCCAGTGCAGCTGTGGGCAGAGCAGCACTGTACCCAGCAGCACATTCCGTCGTCCCTTTCCTCTTAATCCCATCCAACCCCTCCCCGCCGCCCCTCCCCACTCCCCCCCCTCCCCCCCCAGAATCTCATGTGCGCTGCTGTGGTGTCCCTTCTAACCGACTCCGCCACTCAAGACCCCGAGCAAACACAGAAGCACATCTCTCTCTTTCCTCTCCTTCCTCCCCCGCCCGCCTCCCCCGGTCCCCCCCCAGGACCTCATGTGCGCTGCTGTGGTGTCTCTGCTCACCGACTCCCCCACTCAAGACCCTGAGAAGTCGCCCGTGCAGCTGCAGCCCGAGCAGCACCGCACCCAGCAGCACATCCTCCCGAACCACCTCTCCCTCTCCTTCCCCCCCTCCCCCCACACTGAGGAGGGTGGTGGGAGAGGCGGGGGGAGTGGTGGCGAAAGTGCAGGAGGAGCCAGGAGGCGTGTTTTAGAGGTGGAGGAAGACGGGAAAGCAGGTGCAGTGCGGCGTGTGGTGGTGTACAACCCAGTGGAAGAGGAGCTGAAGCAGGTGGGAGGAGGGAGGGGTAAGGGATGAACCAGGTGAGAGGAGAGATATCAGCCAGATAAGAGGCAAGGGATGAACTAGACGAGAGAGGAAAGAGGAGCAAAAGCAGGCGCAGTGCGGCGTGTGGTGGTGTACAACCCGCTGGAAGAGGAGCTGAAGCAGGTGAGAGGCGGGAGGAAAAGGATGAACCAGGTGAGAGAAAAATGGTGAACCGGCCAGGTGAGAGAAAGGGTGAACCAGGTGCGAGGAGGAAAGAGGGGGAGACAGCAGGCACAGTGCAGCATGTGGTGGTGTGCAGCCCACTGGAAGAGGAGCAGGTGAGAGGAGGGAAGAAGTGAGAACGGATGGCGTGGGTGCAACGAGAGAACAAACAGATGAACCAGGTGAGAGGAGAGGAGAGGAAGAAAGGCGGGAAAGCACGCACAGCCCAGCTGCCTCCTCTCTGTGGTGGTTGAATCTCCCGTCCTCTCTGTGCTCGGCCCCAAGAGCTCCTGCCTTAAAGCCCAGCTCATGCCAGAGTGACCCTCCCTCGCTGCTGCCCTCCCCTCCCCCCTCCCAGGTGCTCCCTGTGGTGGTTAAGACGCTCTTCTCTTTGTCTCTGTGCTCGGCCCCAACGGCTCCTGCCTCCGCTCCCTGCTCATGCCTTCCACGCCCTTCCCACCTTCCCTCTTCCCCTTCCCCCCCTCTCAGATCGTCTCAGTGGTGGTTGAGACTCCCCTCCTCTCTGTGCTCGGCCCCAAGGGCGCCTGCCTTAAAGCCCAGCTCATGCCAGAGTGGGCCTCCCCGCCTCCCTTCACTCCCAAACCCTCTGCCAACACCACGGATGCCACTCGCTCACCTGACCTTACTGCTGCTTCCGCGGCCACAGATGCTGCTGCAGCAGCAGTTGCAGAGTCTGCTGCTCCTTTATCAGTGACAACAGGGAGGCATAGGTTGTTTTGGGAAGCGACAGTTCCTGCTCTTGGCCTCCAAACCTTCGTTATCGGTCCGCCGGAAACTTTGCCAGGCTGCCCGGCTGCGGAGCCTTCGCTCGTCGAAGTTTCCAACCCACCTGCGGGTTTCTACTGCCCGAAGCCGTATCGATGCACCGTGCACGACCCCAGGCAGGACGACACCTTTTCGATTGGGAACCGCGAGTACCGAGTGAGATTCAGTGCCGCGCAGGGGCTCATGAAAAACATCCAGCATAGAAGACTTATAAAGGATACTCTTATAGAAGAGGAATTTGCAGTGTACACAGGGCAGAGCGGTGCATACCTCTTTCTCCCTGGGGGCGAGGCGATTTCAATAGTAACCAACGGAGGGACGTCTTTAATCTCCCGAGGACCTCTAGCTGAAGAGGTGCATACAGTATTCAGCTATCTCCCTGTGGAGGCTTGGGACGATTCGGGCCGGCAGCAGGGGGGGTGGCAGCAGTCGCAGCGGCAGCAGCAGCGGCGGCAGCAGCGGCAGCAGCAGCAGCTGCAGAGGGATAGAGCTGCAAGGGCCGTGCATGAGGCGTGGGCTCAGGAGGGCCCGGGAGGTAAAGGGGCAGATGGGCTGAGTTTGCTGAGACAGACGCTGAGGAATGCTGCTTTGAAACACTTTGGGGGGGAGTACCACGGCCATGGGCATGGGCATGGGCATGGGCATTGGCTTGGGAAGGCACACATGCATGAGATGCACAGGCACGAGCAGATGCATGAGCAGCATGCGAATGCGAGGATGCCCGGAAATGAGCCCATTCTTGAGCATGCTCAGGCGCAGGAGCACGTGCAGACGCAGGAGGAGGCGCAGATGGAAGGTGGAGGAGGAATGGGCGGAGTGGTGGTTCCTCTGAGTGAGGTGGAGGCTCTAAGAGAGGGGCTGAGACGGCGAGCAGGGCTGGGAGGAGAGCAGGGAGGGCAGGGGCAGGAGCAGGGAGTGGAGGGGCAGGAGCACGGGCAGATAGGAGTGGGCCAAGCGGGGGGAGTGCAGGGAGGTGAGAGCTTGCAGCTGCAGTACCCTGAGAGGGAGGTGGGGGAGAGGCCGTATGCAGAAAGAGGGCAGCAGGTGAGGCAGTTCCAGGTGGCGAGGAGGAGACTGCTGGGGGATGGCGTGGAGGCAGAGGAGGATGGGGATGAAGAAGAAGATGATGATTATGATGTGGATGGTGAGGGAGGGGAGGAGGAGGAGGAGGAAGAGGAAGAGGTGGAGGAAGAAGAGGAGGAGGATGATGAGGATGAGGGCAGTGGCAGCAGGCGCTTGGGATCATCCCATCTGCCCCGGGACGACGGCACTGATGCACTCATGCAGTCAGCATCATCATCATCCCCATCACCCCTATCATCAGCATCGGCATCAGTCGCATCGCCATACATGGCTGCAGTGGCCAACGAGTCGTTCTGGGATGATGCCGTACGGGCTCTGGCGATGGTGACGGGCAATGAGTCACTTTGGAATGGGACCAACTGGGACACGGTGATGCAAGCAGCCGCTGCCATTGCAGGGAATGACTCGTACTGGGATGGAGCCAAGGGGAATGGGGATGAGGGGAGTGGGGGGAGTGAGGGGAATGAGGGGAGCTGGTATGGAACCATGCAGGAAGCTTCTGTCCCCTCCACCAATCACTCCCGGGCAGCTCACATCGTGGCAGCCGCACTTCGGGCAGCCAAAACGCATGCTGGAGTGGAGAATCGGGCAGGTGGAATTCTGGAGGCTGGCACAGGAATGGTGGGCGGGGAAGGGGAGGCGGTGGTTGGGGGATTGAGACGAAAGCTTATGCAGGTGAGGCGTAAGAAAAGGAAGGGCAGGAAGGGGAGGAAGAGAAGGGCGAGTGTGGGGAGTGGGGAGGCCGGTGGGGTAGAGACAGGAGTAGGAAGGGACGTGGGCGAGCAAGGAATTGCAAGGAGTGCAGGTGAAGCAGCAGGGGGTGTTGAAGGGGTTGGTAGTGGTGCTGATGGTGGCGCTGATGGCGCTGGTGCTGGTGAAATGGCCAGGGCTGGTGAAATTGCCAGGGCTGGTGAAATGGCCAGGGCTGGTGAAATTGCCAGGGCTGGTGAAATTGCCAGGGCTGGTGAAATGGCCGGGTCAGGGGTAACTGAGGGTGCTGGTGCTGATGTGGATGTCAGGGGGGCAAGGATACGGCGGAAGAAGAAGGGGAGGAAAGAGAAACGGAAGGGGAGGAAGCGGAGGGAGCAGGAAGTAGGGACAACGGATGCAAGTGGTGCTGCTGATGGTGGTGCTGGTGTTGCTGGTACCGCTGCTGCTGATGGTGCTGCTGGTGCTGCTGGTGGCATTGGTGGCATTGGTGGCACCACAGCTGCTGTTGTGGGAGAACTAGGGGGATTGAGTGAAGGAGGGGTGGGTGGAGAAGGGCTGGTTAACCATAGGATCCGAAGCAGAGTGCACGATGGGGATGACTTTGACGCCGCGGCTCATACTGAAATGCCCGAGGAGGCCAGTGAAGAGGACAGCACCACTGCTGCTGCTGCCGCTGGCGGTGGTGGTGATGCTGCTGGTGGTGCTGGTGGTGCTGCTGGTGGTGGTGCTGCTGGTGGTGGTGCTGCTGCTGCTGGCGGTGGTGGTGATGCTGCTGCTGGTGCTGGTGGTGCTGCTGCTGGTGGTGCTGATGGCGCTGCTGGCGGTGCTGGTGGTGGTGCTGGTGGTCTTGATGCGGGCAGAGAGCGAGCGGCAGAAGGGGCAAACGAGGACGTTGGCCATGAGGTGGGAGTAGAGGAGGACGAGGCGGAGGAGGGGAGGCCCAACCCAGAGAGCATAGAAGTGACCAGGCGCGAGTGGGAAAGCAGCAGTGGTGGTAACAACAGCAGCAGCAGCAGCAGCAGCAGCGGCAGCGGCAGCGGCGGTGGTGACCCCGAGCAAGAGTACCGAGACTTGGAGGAATTTCAGAAGGAACTAGCTGAGGAGGAGAAGAGAGGGTGGGAGGTGACGGCGGATGAGGGGGGCGCACAGCAGGAAGAGGGGGCAGGGGAGGGGGAGGAGCATGTGATGCCGGTGGTGCGCAGCGTCATGCTCTACAAAGTCAAGTCGCCTCAGGTGTGTATTCAGGTGTTTCCAGGTGTTTTTAGCCGTTTCTAGGCGTCTCATAGAAGCAATCTTGGATTTTTCTGTTCACGTAAACACCTACAGGTCCTTCTGCGAACTGCTGATGCAGACATCGGCCCCCATTGGGGTCTGGTGGCACGTCACGGCACCTGGTGATAGAGTCACAGCACCTGGTGATAGAGTCACGGCACCTGGTGATAGAGCCACGGCACCTGGTGATAGAGCCACGGCACCTGGTGATAGAGCCACGGCACCTGGTGATAGAGCCACATCACCTGGTGATAGAGTCACGGCACCTGGTGATAGAGTCACGGCACCTGGTGATAGTCTGATAGAGTCACGGCACCTGGTGATAGAGTCATGGCACCTGGTGATAGAGTCACGGCACCTGGTGATAGAGCCACGGCACCTGGTGATAGAGCCACGGCACCTGGTGATAGAGCCACGGCACCTGGTGATAGAGTCATGGCACCTGGTGATAGAGCCACGGCACCTGGTGATAGAGCCACGGCACCTGGTCGACTCGACGTATCATTCACCGCGCATAGTGATGCAGCGGGCAACAAGGAGCACGGGGCTGCTGGTGCGTTGCTTCACCCCATATTCTCCCCCCTTCACCTCCCACCCACCAGGGCCTTGTGATAGTGGCACGGCATCTGGTCAACATCACTTGTGATGCAGCGGGCAACAAGGAGCAAGGAGCTGCTTGCACGTTACTGCACCTCCCTCACCTCCTCCTCCTTTTCACCCTGTCCGACTCCAAGGCCTTCCCGTCCATTCCCCTCTCCCCCCCTACCGCCTCCCACCAGTGCCTTGTGATAGAGGCACGGCGCCTGGTGAACATCTCGTCATGCGCAGTGGACAGCAAGGAGCTGGTGGTGCACTAACGCACCTCGCTCAACTCCTGTTAACGTCCTTTTCACCCCTTGTTCTCCCCTGTTTACCCCCTCGCACCAGGGCCTTGTGATAGAGGCATGGCATCTGGTCAACATCACTCTCCCCTCCCACCAGGGCCTGGTGATAGAGTCACGGCATCTGGTCAACATCACGTCTGAAGCAGTCAACAACAAGGAGCTGGTGGTGCGCTACCGAGACTCACTCACCTCTTCCTTCCTCTTCCTACCCCATCCGAATGCCTTCCCATCCCTTCCCTCTTTCCTCCCCCTATCCCCTCACGCACAGGGCCTGGTGATAGAGGCACGGCATCTGGTCAACATCACGTCTTACGCAGTCAACAACAAGGAGCAAGGAGCTGGTCACTCTCCCAGTCCCCCTATGCGTTCTGCACCACTGGTCCTCTCCCCACCCACCAGGGCCTGGTGATTGAGTCACAGCATCTGGTCAATATCACTTGTGATGCAGTGGACAACGAGGAGCAAGGAGCTGCTGGTGTGCTACCACACCCCCCTCACCTCCTCCTTCCTCTTCCAACCCCGCCTGACTCCAATGCCTTCCCGTCCCTGCCCTCTCTCCCCCCCCTACCCCCTCCCACCAGGGCCTGGTGATCGAGGCACGGCATCTGGTCAACATCACGTCTGAAGCAGTCAACAACAAGGAGCTGGTGGTGCGCTACCGCACCTCGCTCAACTCCTCCCAACTCTTCTTCACCGACTCCAATGGCTTCCAGACCGTCAGACGAGAGACGCTCGCCAAGATCCCCACGCAGGGCAACTTCTACCCCATGCCCGCGCTGGGGTTTATCCAAGACCCTTCCGGCGTCAGATTCTCAGTGCACACACGCCAGGCAGTTGGCGTGGCGAGTCTGCAGGTATGGGGCTAGCTAGTGCCTAGGCGCGGTATTGCAGTACCTGTGTGCGTTGAGCCAAGATCCCCACGCAGGGCAACTTCTACCCCATGCCTGCGCTGGGGTTCATCCAAGATCGCTCTGGCGTCAGATTCTCGGTCCACACACGCCAGGCTGTGGGCGTGGCGAGTCTGCAGGTGCGTTATTATTGTGTCTATGTATGTAGCGAGCCAAGATCCCCACGCAACTTCTACCCCATGCCGGCCCTCGCGTTTATCCAAGACCCCTCTGGCGTCAGATTCTCAGTGCACACGCGCCAGGCTGTGGGCGTCGCGAGTCTGCAGGTATGTGGCGTGGTGCCTGGGCGCGGCAGCTCAGTACCTGTGTGCATTGAGCCAAGGTCAAGCCGCAGGGCTCCTTCTACCGCATGCCCGCCCGCGCCGCGCCGGGGGTCATCCAAGCCCCTTCCGGCATCGGGTTTTCAGTCCACACTCGACAAGCTGTTGGCGTGGCAAGCCTTTTGAGTCAACTGAAAAGACATGATGTTAGCTTGGCAAGCCTGCAGGTGCGTTGTGGTGAGGGGCCATCACTTTCAGGTGTGTTACAATCCAATCTGTGTGAGCTGAGGGAAGATCCCCACACTGGAGAGAAAAATATGCTAGAAAGCTCCTTGTTTTTTTTTTTTTTTTTTTTTTTCCCTCACACTTTCCCTGTTTCTAACAGAGCGGCTCTCTGGAGACGATGCTGGATCGCTGCTTCCCTCAGGACGACAACCGGAGCATGCAGCAGGGCGTGCTGGACAACCACCCCACCCACACCACCTTTCCACTACTTTCCTCCCCCTCCCCCTCTGCTTTCACTTCCTCAGAGTGGCTGGCTGGAGATGATGCTGGATCGGCGCCTCCCTCAGGATGACAACGGGGGCATGCAGCAGGGCATGCGGGACAACCACCCCTCGGAAAAGCAACCTCCCTCATTCCGTCTCCCCTCTCCCTTTCTCGCTTCCTGTGCTTTCTGTCCTTCCCTGCTTACCCCAGAGCGGCTGGTTGGAGATGATGCTGGATCGGCGCCTGCCTCAGGATGACAACCGGGGCATGCAGCAGGGCGTGCTGGACAACCACCCCACACACACCACCTTCCACCTGCTCCTAGAAGCCAACACCTCCGCCCGCCCCTTCCCCTCCCCCTCCTCCTCCTCCGCCCTCCTCCCCTCGCTCCTCTCACAACGAATTGGCTCGGAGCTCAACTACCCGCCGTATCTTTTCGTCGGGCAGCTCGAGAGCCCGGCGAGATTTGTTTCTGGGCAGAGAGAGGGGGGAGGCTGGGGGGGTGGCAGGAAAGGGAAGAGTGCGGGGGGGAGTGGGGAAAGTAACGACAGTAGTTCTGGTAGTGGTAGCAGCAGTGGAGGGAAGGGAAGTGTGCGGGGTACTGTTGCTAGCAGTGTGGAGCCAAAGCCGGGCGGTCTTGGTTGGACGTATTCTCCTCTGAGCCGCCCGCTACCATGTAACATGCATGTGGTCAGCTTCAAAGTGCACCGGCCCATGCCCAACGCCTCGGTACGTGCTCTCGCCTCATTTGCTTTACATGTTGCCCCTCTGCATGCTCTACTTCTCTCCCCCCCGCAACCCCCCCCAAACCTAGTCTTTCCTGCTTCGTCTCCCCCCCAACCCCAGTCTCGTGTTAGTAAGTTCGTTTTGAGTCGACCCAAAACGAAACCCTAGTCTTTCCTGCGACGTCTCCCTCATTTCACTGCCCAGTCTTCCCACTCCCCTCGTTCCTCATCCACCTCTCTCCTTATCCCTCCCACTCTCCCAGGTGCACTCCGAGCACCCTCTGGCCCTGGTGCTGCACCGCAGGGGCTTTGACCACAGCTACGAGGGCTCCAACCTTGCAGCTCTCTGCAAGCTCCCCTCTCTCAACTGGTCCTCCCCTTTCTCTATCTCCCTTGTTCTTCTCCCACTCTCAGGTGCATTCTGAGCCCCCTCTGGCCCTAGTGTTGCACCGCAGGGGCTTCGACCACAGCTACGGGGGCTCACACGCTGCAGCACCCTGCAAGCTCACCCCCACCGGCCAGGTGCACCTTGCCCGCCTCTTCTCCAGTGCTTATGTCACCGAGTTTGAGGAATTCCCTCTTAACCTCGTCCGAGCTGCCCCGTTACCAGTAACCCCAGGGTCACTCGGTCAAGGCTCTCAGGATTTGCTTAGAATGGGAGGGGGAGAGGGGGGCAACTTGACAAGTGGGGGGGGGAGAGGAGGGGTGAAGGCGGCAGGGGCATTTGGTGTGAAGTCATGGAAGGAGAGGGTGCGTGGGGTGACTAGCCTCAAGCTGGATGTGATGGAGCTGAAAGCTGTGAAGCTACACATGATGCTGAAGGCGAGGAAGAAAGGGTGGGGGGGTTGGAGAGGGAAGTGAAGTCCAATGCGTTACAAACAATGAGTGATGGTCCTGGGAAATAAACGGTAAAATCTTATGGAATGGTAGAACTGTCACGAAAATGTTAAAAGACATGTCGTTTTCTCTTGCTGTTGCAAGCTATTGAGCTAGCATTATCTCGGTGGAATTTCAAAACGATTTACATTCGTCATAGACATATTCCGTGGCCTTTAGCAAGTCTCCCCGTTTGTGGCAACCCCGCAAGACCGTACCAAAATCTACCAAACCCCACCACACCACCATCGTTGAAGGCTCTCCAGTCGGGGGATAGCTGCTGGAAAAAGTCCAACCCACCCTAGCTCACAGCAGCCATAGCGCCCCACACTCCACATGCCCTTCCCATCCCACCCTACAAGCTCCACCACTGTTCGTACGACCCCGCGAGTCTTCTGTGTCCTCCTGCTGCCGTCGCTCGCGCTCCTGCTACTAGTATACGCCGAAAGCCGCGTGTATTTCGCGAGCAAACATGCCGTACACTGGAAAGAGCTCCCTCGCTCTCGTAAGTCCCACCTACCTTCCCCCGCCGGTGCTCCCGCCATTGCAAAATCGCTCCGTCTCGCGTGCCGTTGCTGCTGTTGTCGAGCGGCCGCTAGACGAAAAGGATCAGGTCAACCGGAATGAGATTCGCTCGTTTAAACCGGATCTGCGTAGTAGACCCTCATGTAGCACGCGTTCTTCCGGTGACCTTTGAGTCGACTCAAGAGCCAAACCGGATCTGCCCCCTTGACCCTCATGTAGCACGCGTCCCCCCCCGATCTTAGAAGAAGAAAGCATTCTTTCTCCCGCGTCTCCCGTTCGTTTCCATGCAGATCGCGAGGGTTTCGGCTGTTGGAGTGGGCGTGGCGTACGGTGCCACCATGCTCACCTACCTCCGGGTAAGTTTTCCTTTCCGTGTTGTCCTGCCTTACATTCGTCAATTCGTCAACGCGTGAACTCTTGAACCTGTGATCTCGTTAGTGACTTCTGGAGTGGGTGGCTGTGGCTTACAGTGCCACCATACTCACATACCTCCGGGTAAGATTGACTTGGTAACTGGGTCGTTCCTAAAGTGTGCGTGGCTCAAGCACCACCACTCTTACACACATCCGGGTAACAGTGCACTCCCCTGCTGTCCCGATTTTTGAGGCGCCTCAAAAGCTGTCCCGATTTTTGAGGCGCCTCAAGCACCACCACTCTTACACACATCCGGGTAACATTGCACTCCCCTGCTGTCCTGTCGTGCACTCGTGAGCCTGTAGCGTGACTTCCGTGGAGGGTGCGGTGCGGCGAGTGATGCTACCCACCCCACCATCCTCACCTCACGTACCTCCGGGTGTAGTGAGTCTGCTTTTGGGTCGACTCAAAAACGGTTTCTGAGGCGCTTTTTGACGCGCCTCATTACACGAGGATGTAACGTGTGATGTGACGTGTGACGCCACCCACCCACCCCACCATCCTCCCGTACCTGGGGGTCGGAATGCGTCCCAATGTGCTACGTGCTGTCCTGTCCTGTCGTAGACTCGTGAACTTGCGAGGGGAGGTCTCAGAACTAACCTGCTTAACCACGTAAGGGTGGCTGCTGGAGTGGGTGTTGCGTACGGCACCACCCACATACCATGCTCACGCATCCCCTCCCCTTGGTAGAACCTCCCCTCCCCTGCATTCCTGGGTAGTAGAACCTCCCCATCCCTGCAATCCTGTCACGTGTCATCCCTGCAATCCTGTCACGTGTCATCCCTGCAATCCTGCCTCGTATCATCCCTTGGTAAAACCTCCCCTCCTCTGCATCCCTGTCCCGGACACGTCGTTCTGTTTTGCTCTGTTCCATCAGTGGGTGGGTTACTTGCGCTTTTCAATGCATGCTCCAGTTGCGCTTCCCTGTGTGATCCCTTCTGCCTTGCTGCTGTGTTGAGCCGTCTCATCTCAACCCTTCTTACCTCAGTCTCTCGCCATCGACTTTTGAGGCGAGGTGAATTTTGAGCCGACTCAAAAGTCACCATCTTACGTCTGCCTCGCCATCGACTTTTGAGGCGTCCCTTTGACACACACACTTTTGAGGCGTCCCTTTGACACACACTCACAGCTGCTTGCGCTTCCCTGCTGTGCGATCCCTTCTGTCTCGCTTGTGTCCCCATAACCCTTTTCGGTCAGTCCTTCTTGTCCTGTCGTGCCTAGTGCCTTGCTGTTGCGCACAGCTCGAGCATTCGTGCCTTGATGTGTTCTGTTTTTATATATATATATATATATAGATATATATATATAGTTATAAAAAGGAGCACATTCAGTCTTGCTGCTGTTGCCATAACCCTTTTTCGGTCGGTCCTTCTCGTCCTGTCCTACCCACTGCCTTGCTGTGTCGCACTGCTCGTACGTTGTTTGCCTTGGTTCTCTGCCAGCACTGCTTGCACCACCAGCACTGCTTGCACCGCCAGCACTGCTTGCACCGCCAGCACTGCTTGCGCCGCCAGCACTGCTTGCGCCGCCAGCACTGCTTGCACCGCCAGCACTGCTTGCACCGCCAGCACTGCTTGCACGGCCAGCACTGCTTGCACCGCCAGCACTGCTTGCACCGCCAGCACTGCTTGCACCGCCAGCACTGCTTGCGCCGCCAGCACTGCTTGCACCGCCAGCACTGCTTGCACGGCCAGCACTGCTTGCACGGCCAGCACTGCTTGCACGGCCAGCACTGCTTGCACGGCCAGCACTGCTTGCACCGCCAGCACTGCTTGCACCGCCAGCACTGCTTTCACCACCAGCACTGCTTGCACCACCAGCACTGCTTGCACCACCAGCAGTGCCCGCACCACCAGCACTGGCGATCGTTCTGCAGGGTGCTTTTGAGAATCCAAAAAAACACCTCGATTCTCTGTCGCCTGCGCGCACTGCTTGCACCACCAGCACCCAGCATCGCCGATCTTTTTTGGAGCTCCTGTTTTGACCCTTCTCTTCTCTTTTCCTTTGTTCACCACGGCTCCCAGGCTACAGAGGCTTGGAGAATTCTCTAAGTTGGCTGTCCTGACCCTTCAATTTTCTTTTCGCACCATGGCTCACAGATTGTTTATCGCCTCAAAGCTTTGCTGTCCTGACCCTCCTCTTTTCTTTCTCGCACCACGGCTCACAGGCTAAGAAGGCAGCAGCGGCAAAGAAGAATCCAGGGCACCATTAAGATCACGTGGTAACACACAGCCTGCACCACCACCAGCACCACTGATCTTTTTTGGAGCTCCCTTTTTTTACCCTTCTCTTCTCTTTTCTTTCATTCACCACGGCTCACAGGCTAAGAAGGCAGCAGCGGCAAAGAAGGATCCAGGCCACCATTAAGCCCATGTTACATTCGCTCAATCAACCATGAATGGGCTGGTCCCATGTGCTGTGGTGTGTGGCATGCTACTAAAGCGCCTTGTGGTGTATATAAGCTCCATAAGCTCCATCAGCTTATATACACCAGATGATTCTGTGAACCGGGTTGGGTTTCCTTCCTCCCGTTGCGAGTCAGTGGAAATTGTGGTTGGTTCTGTGTTGATGGGTGGGGCCTTACAAGATGCGCTGGCTTCTGCCTTGAATGTTCCAACCTAGGGTTACACTCATTAACCTAGGAACACAAGCAATGGCAAACGAAAGGGAGGGGGGGAGGCATAGCCAGCCCAACACCACATGTAGTCTATCAGCAACTGGTTCTCAACGACACCCTAGTTAGAGATGACAGACGAAAGGAAGCTTAGCTCTACAATACAACTAGCAGCCTCAAAAATAGCAGCACCTCGTACTGGTCCTACCCACAACACATCACATCACATCACATCACATCACAAGACATCACATTGTCAAAATGAGAACGAATAATGACTAGAGGTGGAAACCTAGAACAAATACTAGTTGGTTGTACTCACTAGAAGCATACCTCAGTCTAGCCTATAACTTCTACATAGATAATATGTATAAGTTGACACACCCCCTAGGCTAGACAAGGGGTGAAACTAAACAAGAAACAAACAGCTCAGGGCGGCACTACTAGTCCAACCACTGAGGCAGGGGTCTGGAGACCAGTCAGCAAGAATACAACCAAAACTGAAGCAAGCCAGGGTGGCACTACTAGTCCAGCCACTGGAGGTAAGGCCACAAGGCCAGTCTGACAAGCATATATAATAGAGAGTACACAATCAGGATCCTAACAGGGGAGCAGCTACAGGAACAAGACCAAGCTGTACACAGTGCCACTGATGATCTTTAGGCGCAAGCGCCTTAGTAAAGATATCAGCTGTGTTGGCACCTGAGGCCAAGTGAACTACGCGGGCCTGGCGGCGCTGCTGTAGCTCACGCGGGAGAAAGTACCGCAGCTGGATATGCTTCGCTCTGCCCTCAAGCCGAGGCTCCTGACACAGGAGTATCATGGCCCTGTTGTCAGTGTACAGGACCGGGGCAGAGCTAGGCCGCTCACCTAAGTCTGTGAGCAAGAAGGTCAGCCAGCGGAGCTCCTGTGCCGCCATGGCACCAGCGTAGATCTCAGCCTCACAGCTAGACTGAGCCACAGACGACGAGCGAGTGGATCTCCAAGAGATAGCACCCGAACCAAGGCTGAAACAGTAGCCCTGTGATGACCTGAGCGTCTCAGCGTCGTCTGCCCAAGAAGCGTCTGTGTGCCCAGTAAGGACCACTGGCCTGCGTCCTCCTAGCACTAACCCCATGCCTGATGTACTAGCAAGATAACGCAAAACCCTCTTAGCGGCAGACCAGTGCTGAGGTCGGTGTCTGCCTGTAGCCACAAAGCGAGCCAGGATGCTGAGAGGGTATGCGAGATCTGGGCGCGTGCAAGTCATCAGGTACATGAGGCAACCCACCAGCTCTGCGTAGGGGCCACTGGGCTCTACTGGCTCCTCAGGAACGGGAGCAGAGAGCCCATGGTCTACGGGTAGAGGTGTGGGCTGTGCGGAGGAGAACTGAAGACCGAACCTCTGAAGGACCTGACGCACCAAGTGTGACTGGGTCAGAGTGATGGTGCGTGCTGCTCTGTCCCTGGAGATCTGCAGGCCAAGATAGCGACGCAGCTCTCCAAGGTCAGTGCAGGTGTGTCTCTTCAGCAGCTCAGCCTTCACAGAGGCCAGTGCGTCCCTGTCAGGAGTAGCGAAGACCAGGTCGTCTACGTAGACAAGGAT